TTCCACAGGTGAGGATGAAACATCTAAAAGATCCTAACAGCTAAAATGTACATCTTTTAAAATGTGTGGATCTCAGTTAATGACTTGGCACACAGGATAAGGAAATTACTGTTAAATTAGATCTTCCAGTAGCCTTCTGATACTATCAGTTAAATTTTTGTTGGTCAGACATCTTGTTTTCAGCTATAGGATATACTATATCTGCCAGTGATTTAGAGATCCTTCTAATTGTATTCCCCTCCCTACAATTTTGTGCCATTGTAATCTATGTATGTATGAAAGATAATTATATGAGGTATTGTCTTGCTCTTTCATGATTTAGTTTATTGGATTTGACTTCCACACTACACATATTACCTAGGACTTAAAAGCACAAAAGAGTGAAACTGCCTGATTCAATTAACGTAGTGTTTATTTTAACAGGTTTGTCTCTGAGATATTATACAGTAATGTCTGACTTGTGCCTTAAGTTCTTTTCTTTTGTTTAAATCGTAGAGTAGCTAAGCTAATTCTTTATGTTAACCACAAAAGGTCACAGAAGATTAGGGCTTCCTATACAAACTCAGTTTATGACTAGGTGCAGAGTTAACTGTTCTCTAGCAATGCAAACATTGATCAACAGGTACTTCTGGGATTGTCGTCATCACTTAAATTGAATAGATTCATGTACTTCAGTTTGGAAACTCAATGGTTTTATCTCCAAGTAAGACCATTCAGGGAGATAGTGAATCCAAGAACAAGTCCCAAAACTACAAAAATAGTGTTTAATTATTCTCTTGAGAATTTCCAGAAAAGACATTTCCACTCAGCAATGCTAATATGAAGCTGTTAGGGTCAGTCATGCACTGTAAATACAGGATTACAGACTCTTACATCAGGACAATATAAATGTGTGTTTAAAGACTGTTTAAGAAACCCCATAATTTATATAATTTTATTAGAAGAGGGGACTGGCTTACATATGATTCTGAGTTAACCAACAATTCAAAATCTATGTGATAATGTTTGTGACAGGTGTCATTTAATATCGGGATAGACTTAACTAAGAATCCCAAGCTTTTAATTAATTAAAATGAAAGAACAGCTATCAGAAGGGCAGAATTGTGGACAATTTGTGCCTCATTGGTTTCAAATAAATAGATATGGCAGAAACTGGAATCTTCTGTAACCCTTATTATTTAAGTTAAGTATGAGGCACTATGGTTGTCTATCTTGTCTATTTCTATGGTGCATATCACCTTACTATCTGAGTTCCCTAACTGACTGTTTAATTTGTAGATTAAAAGGGATATTTTAAAATAAATTGTCATTTTGTATCACCTGTAATAATAAACTACAGTATTAGTTATTCAAATTATGCCATGTATATAAAATCTATTGTCAGTTTTTCTACAACAAGATAAAACAAAATGAATCAATAACAATATTAATTACTCTCAATAAAGCATGTGACTGAAAAAAGTAAACATGTTGCAGACTATTGATTTGACAGATTGTAATGACACCTCTGGAGCTTCTAAAGTCTGTTGTGTAAATATTTATTAACTAATTAAAATTATATTAACTTCTTCTGAGAAGCTGTTACAATCTTTCATGTGAAAGCAGTGGCCTCACATCTATATAAAATCTATATGTTAAAGATATTTTAAGATTTTTTTGTGGAAATATTGTTGCACATTCATGATATGTGATTTTCTAATCAAATTATCACCATTGTTTTAAATTTTCTGAGAATAGGCAAAGGCATTTGTCCACATCATGGATTATTGACCTGCAAAATTTACAAGTAAAATAGAGCCATTTTTCGTGAATTCTGCACAAATAAGTATATGTAATGTTTGTACAAAAATTTTCTATAATTTGGAACTAGCTGAAGGGATTTTTGAAATTTTTTACTGAAAGTATTTTAACCTGAAATATTTTACACTAACTGTAAGCCAGGGGATTCAATCTTGCAAGCCATCCAAGTGTAGAATTCCCATTGATTTCAGATGGCATCTTTTGTGTGGAAGGTTTGTAGGGCCAGGTCCTGAATTATATATATAATATATACACAATGGCTGTGAATTTTATTTGGGCTTAAACACAAATAGGCTTGAAAATGTTTCTACAGCATCTTCCAAATAGTGAGGAATTGTATACTAGGCCCAGTTCATATTTAGATATGAATGAGCCAAGTAAGATTAAGTAAGCTGGTTTTTAAAAGGCCATAGTGGGCCCTAGAACTGAAGGAAATCTTAACAAAAAGAGAGTGTTGGAGGGCTCTGGGGATTAGTAATAGCATATAGGCACCTTTTATCTGTAAGTTGATTGTGACTGAAAGTTATTACCATCAGATAGTCTCTTAACTGGCCTTTGTGAAATCCATTTGGAGGTCTTAGTCTGTTTCCTCGTGGGAAGGTGTCTACCTCAAATAACCAACAATCAAAATCAGTGCTAATTGTTTCCTCTTGTTGCCACTTGCATCAACAAGGGTGAAGATTGAATAGGACATGGAGACTGAACTTTCCGGTTGTGATGGTTCCTCCGCGTTGGGGTTTAATCACAATTGACCGAGTTGTACATGTGCAAATTTGCATTGCTTGTGCTGTATCAGTTCTGCGGATTAATAGAAGTCTTCAAGATTGTCAAGCCAACATCTTTCATTCACTCTTACTTCAGTTAAAGCCCTCACCCTCAAAAAATCTTCTATGGCGCATTCTGCCACCAACATCCAAATCGTACATATCCTTCTAGGGTCACAAAATTCCTAGAGTCTGATTCCAGTTTATCCAGGATCTTCCAGGGTTTGAGATAGCTGCATTTCCTAAACATCCATGGGGCATCCTTCAACCTCAAACAACTGTATTTAAAATCAATTTCTGCTCTGAAAATTAACTGTAAAAATAGCACTTGTTATGAAATTTATCTGCTTCCTGCATGTATCCAGAGTCAGATATGCTTACTAACATGACAAAAATAGATTTATGCTGCATTTTACACCTGTTAGTCCTGCAGCAGGTCCAATGCAGACAGGTGTTGTAGAGGGAGATGATATCTGTTTGTTTTCGCACACCAACAGAATTGTTAACTGAATTCCAATTGGAGGGTCAATTTTTACCCTCAGTTACATCTGTGAAACCCTCACTAAGGATAATAGTAATTAAATGTGTAACTAAGGAGAGAAATTGGTTTCCTAATATTAATTTCTGGTGATGGTGTGTGGGAAGGTAGATCCAAGTCTGCAGCACTGATAGCTAGTATAAAACCAACTTTTTTACATTTGCATACTGAGCAAACAATAAAATTCAAACTTTGCCAAGCCATTTTTATAGAGTTGCTTATCCAAACACTACTGTACTCTAAATAAATGTCTAAATAACACTCACTGCAGTTGAAAATTGCTCTCACAACAGCTTAGAAAATGAGGCTGCCACTTATTCCAGGCAGGCTACATAGTTTAACCAGATATTATGAGAGGCTTTAGATTGACCACATAAAATCAGGGAAATAAAAGGGGTAAATGCCAATTTGGGCAGATTGGAGGCATGTGGACTGCCCAGAACATTCTCCTCCTCCTCTATCCCCAAATACCTTTTTATTTAGGTCCAGGCTAAGAGTCAAGACATCTTCTGACTCCCAAGGATATTTTGGAGCTATATAACAAAAGGTAGGATGGAGGAATGGAATCTGAGACAGAAAAGTCTTTCTCTTCCATCTCCAACATTGGAGAGGGTGGCTTTAAAAGCATGGTCTAGTGGATAGAGCTGTGGTCTCAAAACTCTGCACTCTGCAGGTCACTAACCTCTGTATGCCCAACTTTCACCCCCATCTGTAAAATAAAGGTAACATTACTTGTCTGTTTCCAAAGGATTGTTGTAGGATCATAGCCAATACTTTCCAACTTGGTTGCTTAAAATTAAGCATCTAAATCCATATTCAGGCACCTAACCAAAAGCCGTAAATTTATTAGATGCTGAGCACTCACCCATTCCCTTTGAAATTAATGGGAGAGTCAGGCACTCTGGTCTCTGGAAAGTAGGCCACTTTTAGTTAGGGTCCTGAGTATTGATTAAGGTGTCTAATTTTTGGCAAACAGGTCTGAAAATTTTGGACTTCATTGTTCATAAAACATTTTAAGATCCTCAGATGAAAGGTGATACATTAGTACAAAATATTATTACAAATATGTCGAACAGCTTTATTTTAAAAAGAAGCAAAAAAAGATTTATCAAGTAAATAACTGGAAGTTGAAAAAAGGTATGTTTTTTCATTTCAGTAATAGTGACCACACTGTTTAGATTATATGCCTCTTCTGAGAAGCTTGATCAAGTAATATTATACATAGACTTGGAAAGATTAGATTTTTACTGGTAACTGTCGGTAAACATCGATTTCACACCATACACATACAAACCTATGAAAAAATATTTCAATTGATATTAATAGAAACTTACTGATAGACAAAGTAAGAAAAATGCTGCTTGACAACTTAATAGTTTGATTTAAGTGTATTTTACATTGTATATGTTGACATATGAAGTTGACAATTTGTGTTTTAGTGGTTATGCAGCTTTAACTTTTTGACTCTCAACATCTATTATCATTTAAATAATTGTCTGACCTGCCCATAATTTCCTGCAATTGTGAAAATTTTAATAGATAAAAGTTGAAAAAATGCTTAATATCCATAATTTTGCACAACTGTGAAAATTAAAGTAGATAAAAATAGAAAAATACTTAAAAATAAACATTGATATTATCCATCAAAATAAAAAATAAAAATTGAATTCTGCCAAGTCTAATTATGTAGTGATTATTCTGGAGCATAATAGATTCATTCTTGCCAACAAAAACATACTCTGACAATTCAGTGAAAGCAGATACTAGTGTGTTTTAGCTACTGAAACTTTTTATTATAAGTCTAGAATCCACGATGGAGTTGTATAATGTTTAAGATAAAAAATATCCACTATGTTATAATAGTACATGAAGTGAAATTTCTATCTTGTTATTTACAGGTACAGACTGTTCAGACTTCATTATCTGAATCTCCAGTGATGACCAGCCCCTCTCAACGCATCCAAATTATTTCTACAGACTCTTCTGTAGCTTCACCACAGCGCATTCAGGTAAATTCTTTAATTTAAATAACTCAATCAATGGGCCCTTATTATGAAAGCAAATATCATCCAGTTATTGTCCAATTTTATTTCTTTGTTTGAAAAATATAGTTAGCTCTTGTTTTTAATGTACCAGATATCACAGAGGTCCTTTCAGTGATTAGAATTCAAAATGACCTGTACAAATTGGAGAATTGGTATGCATTCAACAAGATGAAATTCAATAAAGATCAAGTGCAGATTACTTCACTTAGGAAGGAAAAGTCAAATGCACAAATACAAAATGGGGAACAACTAGGTATGTGGTAATACTGATGAAAAGGATCTGGAGGTTATAGTGGATCACAAATTGAATATAAGTAAACAATGTGATGCACTTGAGAAAAGGGCTAATGTTCTGGGAAGTATTAACAGGAATGTTGTGTGTAAGACATGGGAGGTAATTGTCCTGTTCTACTCAGCACTGGTGAGGCCTTAGCTGGAGTAACATCTCCAATTCTAGGTACCACATTTTAGGAAAGATGTGGAGAAACTGGGGACAGTCTAGGTAGAGCGACAAAACTGATAAAAAGTTTACAAAACCTGACCGGTTCGGAAACATTAAAAAAACTGGCAATTATTTAGTCTTGAGAAAAGAAGACTAAGGGGGCACCTGATAAAAGACTTCAAATATGTTAAAGGCTGTTATAAAGAGCACTGGGCTCAATTGCTCTCCATGTCCACTGATGGAAGACAAGAAATAATGGGTTTTATCAGCAGCAAAGGATATGTAGGTTAGATATTAAGAAAAACTTTCCAAATATAAGGGTAGTTAAGGTTTGAAATAGGCTTCCAAGAGACGTTGTGGAATCCCCATCTTTGGGAGTTTTTCAGAACAGGTTGAACAAACACCTAGTCTAGGTCAGGGATGGTCTAGGTTTACTTGATCCTGCCCCAGTGCAGAGGGTAGTACTTGATGGCTTCTTAAAGTCCCTTCCAGCCTACATTTCTATGAATCTGTGATTCTATGATTGTCAGTTGTAGATAGGCACTGAGAGTTGTCCTCTAGTGTATATATATTACCTGCAGTTTTTGCCTATATATTCCCTCTAAATCTAGGAAAAGAAAAATCAGGCAATTTATGCCTCTTCACTGTCTTACTTTCTAGAGTCTATCACTATGGGAGGATTCTCCTTTGCAGACATATTTCTGGTTAAGTAACAATAGCAAAAAAACTTTTTTATCTACTGGATCTACAATATCAGCATATATCTCACCACCCCATCAAAGGATTTATATTTCCTCAACATGTATGACTGAAGAATACTAGGACATTCTGAAGTTCATAGAGCAGATCCTCCCAGCATAACTTTAGTTTTGGCCCACTTGGGCAGAACAATTAATCTTGTTCCTCATATCTCTACTGATTGTAAAGGAACTAACAGTCTGTGCTGAGGGAGAATACTGGAAAGGGAAAAGACAATTCCCATGTCTGTAAAAAATTTACAGGCAGCATCATAGAGGTATCAGTCTTGATCCCACAGACAAGATTTCACTGTGACTTCATGCTACCAGCTAAGATTTTCAATATAAAACACTGTGATGGCCAGTAAGAGCTCTGTGGAGCAGCAAGATAGCCCAGAGATCTTTTGCCTAGTGAGCTCCTTAATTATCATAATTGGCTGTTCCATATACTTAGATTTTTTTTAAATGGTGATGATAATATGTTTATTTGTTAAGGATTATGTGTTCTATGCTACGAAACTTTATTCACACAAGTGATCAGATTAGCATATAAACCTTAACTGTAAATTAACTACACACACAAAAAATGTTTTGAAATTGTGTATTTATTTTTAACCAAAACAGAAGAAATCTCAACTATAGTCATGAGGTGGAATGCTTTTAATTTTCTGTCTCTAGTATTGTGTGCACAACACCAAAAGACAAGCCTGGGAGCTTAAATTCATAATTCTGCTAGACACTAAAAATGATGGACTGAACAGAGACACTGGATTTATGGCTTATTACAACAATCTGTAGCTCACTAACCTCCTCTTTTTGTCCTATGACTCAGAGGCGTTAATGGGCCACACAACCTCTAATGGTCCCTTAGAAAATGTGCTAACTACTTGTGCTAAACAATCTGTTCCACCTTGCATTTAGCTGTGACACTCAAGAGTACTTTCCGAGACCCAAAGAAGAGTTGTGTTTGCTCAGAAACTTGTCTGTCTCACCAGCAAAAGTTGGTTCAATAAAAAGATATTACCTGACCCACCTTGCATCTCTGCCTGTAGTATTGACCAGAAGAGGCTAGTTTCACAGTTTACTAATATGTTTCCCTTTTTCAGAATGAATGAGTTTGACCTCATAGAGTTTTCCAAAGTATTTTTACTTTCACTTTTAATTCTTTAAGTGAGGAAATTTTGTGATTATATCAGATTAGATTTTCTGTGTATGTGTACTGGATATGTGCTTGGTCATACATAGCCATGTACAATATGTTACATATTTTTCACTTAGGTGAACATAAGAACCTTGGTCATTATACTTCATTGGTATTCATTTTATACTATTTGGATCACATAAGAACATAAGAATGGCCCTACTGGGTCAGAACGTCCATCTAGCCCAGTATCCTGTCTCCCAACAGTGGCCACTGCCAGGTGCCCCAGAGAGAATGAACAGAACAGGTAATCATCAAGTGATCCATTCCCTGTCGCTCATTCCCAGCTTCTGGCAAACAGAGGCTAGGGACACCATTCCTGCCCATCCTGGCTAAAAGCCATTGATGGACCTATCCTCCATGAATTTATCTAGTTCTTTTTTGAACCCTGTTATGGTCTTGGCCTGAACAACATCCTCTGGCAAGAAGTTCCACGGGTTGACTGTGCGTTGTGTGAAGAAATACTTCCTTTTATTTGTTTTAAACCTGCTGCCTATTAATTTCATTTGGTGACCCCTAGTTCTTGTATTATGAGAAGGAATAAACAACATTTCCTTATCTACTTTCTCTACAACAGTTATGATTTTATAGACCTCACTCGTATATCCCCTTAGCCATCTCTTTTCCAAGCTGAAAAGTCCCAGTCTTATTAATCTCTCCTCAGACGGAAGCCGTTCCATACCCCTAATCGTTTTTGTTGCCCTTTTCTGAAACTTTTCCAGTTCCAATATATGTTTTTTTGAAATGGGGCGACCACATCTGCACACAGTATTCAAGATGTGGCGTACCATGGATTTATATAGAGACAACGTGATATTTTCTGTCCTATTATCTATCCCTTTCTTAATTATTCCCAGCATTCTGTTTCCTTTTTTGACTGCTGCTGCACATTGAGTGGATGTTTTCAGAGAACTATCCACAATGACTCCAAGATCTCTTTCTTGAGTGGTAACAGCTCATTTAGACCCCATCATTTTATATGTATAGTTGGGATTATGTTTTCCAATGTGCATTACTTTGCATTTATCAACATTAAATTTCATCTGCCATTTTGTTGCCCAGTCACCCACTTTTGAGAAATCCTTTTGTAGCTCTTCGCAGTCTGCCTGGGTCTTAACTATCTTTAGTAATTTTGTATCATGTGCAAATTTTGCCACCTCACTGTTTACACATTAGAGAGATTCCTTCTTGACCTGTTTAATGTGATTTACTATAGTTCAGCTACTTCCTCACCTTTCATATTACCAATGCTTCCCATTCCACAAGCACCCTTCTCTGCAGAAGCACTATATATACATAAAGGCCTGATTCCACTGCCTTGCACTTTGTGTCATCATTTACACCTATTTTGCACAAGTATAAATGACTATGTAAGTTGCAAGGCAGTGAAGAGCCATTATCAGGTAATAAGATATAATTCTGAGATAGAACCAAAGATTTTAGAATGTTAAATCTTATATTATGCCTTATAAAATCCTTCAACATTTCTTGCAGATTGTGACAGATCAGCAAACAGGACAGAAAATCCAGATAGTGACAGCAGTGGACTCATCAGTGTCTCCGAAGCAACAGTTTATCTTGGCTAGTCCAGATGGAACTGGAACAGGAAAGGTGATATTGGCAGCACCTGAAACCTCTAATGCCAAGCAACTTATCTTTACCACCACTGACAACATTGTACCAGGCAGAATTCAGGTAAATACAATAATTAAAATAGGCTATACTGCTTCAATTATTGATTTAAATAGATTTAATTGTATAATAGCCCTAAACCCCTAGAAGTTTTGATAGTTTTCTAAAAGCTAAACTTCCTGTGTACAGGTTTTTGAAAATGTTATATAATCATTTTGTTCATTTCCATGGCTAACTTTCCAATTTACTTCCTAAAATGCCACAGTAAACTGCAAGAGAGGGCTGTTATAGGTTCATAAAACGGCAAATTATAACACTTCATCTATGCAACCTTGTGTCCTTTTACTATTATTTGTCTCCCTCTTCTCCCCTCACTCTTTCTACCGTGTTCCAACACCCATTGTTGCATGTTCTCCTTATTAAGGTCCTAATTCAGCAAAGATTTAAGCAGATGCATAATTTGATGCCTGTGAGTAGTTCCGCTGAAGGCAATGGGCAAAGTTATTTTAATCTTTGCAGGGCTCAAGGCCTTGGAATGTAAGCTCTTTGGGGCAGGGGCTGTCTTTACAATATGTTTGAATGGGGTCCTGGTCATGATTCAGATGTCTGGGATCTATCATAATACAAATAATACACATTAATAAACATAGATCAAACTTTTTCTACTAAAGTAGGAGCTTTTTTCCCCACATCCACATCCACCTCTTTAAAATTGATATCTACTCCCTGTTGCTATCAGTATGATAGAACTATCATTTTATTTGACAGTAAAATTAAAAGAGTGATTTACAGGAGAGAAAATTTCCATCTGTGCATAAACATCTAAATAACAACAATTGTTTTTAAGAGATTTTTAAAATAACAGTTTATTGTAAATTACATTTCTTATTTAAATGCCTCAAAGCAGAAAACCTTCTGTTTTGAATCATATTTTTATTTAATGTCTGTGTTTAATGGGATGATTTGGGCATGAAAATACAGACAGACCCATAAAAGAAGGAAAAATAATCATGTTATATTCAGCACAAAGACAGTGGAAATGTACCAAAATAAACAACAACTCCTAGGAGTTAACATGAACTGTAAGTGAATATTTAAAGATGAGACCTTGTTTCTTTCCAGTACTACAATGGTCTGTAACATATTATAATACACTGATTCTATGCCCCAGTTAATAAATGCCAATAAAATCAAGCACAGTGCTAGTATAAGCTGAATACTGTATATGGTTGGAAGTTTAATTTTTTAAATTAATAAACATAATTAATTTAAAGCTGTTTGTTTTTTAAAAGTTTTTTAAAAACTTTGTCAGTGAGATTAATTTTGTCAGGATTAACTTCCTTGCTGATACCATGAAAAAAGTATGAGTTTATTGGATTATACTCCCCCACTTCCTTCCATCCACTCTCTCTTCCTTTCCCCCTCTTTTAGGATTTAATCCTGCCTCTGATTTATTGGTTTGCAAAGGGTTAAGGACGGACTATTTTCATCCTGTATTTTGAACTGAACAGAATTTTATATTATTGCATTATTTAACTTCCTTTAATATAGCACTTTGTCTTGCTAAGCATTCTTGTTTGTATGTTCGCATCATTGAATGATATCCCCAAAGTTCTAAAACAGTGGTGGGCTTGCACCTGCCCACCTCCCAGGTTTTCCAATAGGTGCAGACAGTCAATGTAAACAAAGTGTCTTACCTCCTGCCAGCGGATTACCCTGACAGGCTGCGTGCAGGCCGCAGGTTGCCCACCACTGCTGTAAAAGGAGTGGGAATGAAATAGAGCTAATGTGAGGTGCACAAAACGTTGTGGGCCAAGTCTTCAGCTGCTGTAAACCAGCATAGCTCTATTGAAGTCAATAAAGCAATGCTAATTTATGCCAACTGAGGATCTGGCCCTCTATTTTCATAGGAACTACAAAACTAGTGGATATACTTTGTTTATGGTGTCTAAAAAGAGGAGTAATAACTTTAAAACAAAACTGGACAGGCCTATATTTTCAGAAGGCCGTGTTCCCTTTTGTGAGCAAAATTTGTGTCCACAACATTTGTACCTTCTTTTTTTTTGTACTTACACTTTATTGCAGGTATGAGTATTAGCAGTTAGATGTTTAGCTATCTGATTTACAACTCCAAGTGACCAGTTAGCTATCCAAATGATAATATTTGCTCCTGTGGTGAAGTGCTGTCACACAGTGATCTACCTATGTGAATGGTGTCAGAGGCTCAAATGCAGTGAAAGGGGAGGAGCAGAAAAAAACTCAGATATTATTTTATAATATTAATCCACTTTGGAAGTTGATTAAGCTAAACTGGAAAAAGGCACTCTTATTCCAAAATAAAATTACCTATATGGGGAAGTTATTCCAGTATAGCTATTACACTTAAATTTCTTTATTCTGCAATAACTTCTCTATGTAGACAAGCCCCAAATCTTTGAAGGCTAATGCAAGTCTCTGCTTAAGATGAGCCCCAGTCAGGAATAAATCTTTCAGTTCTGGATCAGGCCTCTGCCTAAGCTAAACTCCCAGACTGGCCTCTGTCTTTCTAAACTGCAACAGGCCTTTGCCTAAACCAGGCTTCCAGACTAAATTTAGGGGCAGATTTATAAAGGTATTTAGGTGCCTAATGGGATTTACAAAAGTGCCTAAGCAGGTTAGGTGCCAACTTCTATCGCAAGTACTAACCTGCAAGAGTTAGCAACGCTAAGCCAATCAGTTGATCTGAATATGAAATCTCTTTAGAGCTTGATTTGATGTGATATATCAAAGCAACACCTTAACTGTTCTGGCATTTTGTTTTAGATTGTGACAGACTCTGCTTCAGTGGAACGTTTGTTGGGTAAAGCTGATGTCCAGCGGCCACAAGTAGTAGAATATTGTGTTGTTTGTGGAGATAAAGCATCAGGTAAGCAAATATACTCTTGTAACAAATGTGTTACTAGTAAAGATGGAGTGATGATGTGTTTATGTATAATGAGAATAGCAATTGAGACTTGGTCAAAAGAGGTTGAATTTACAGTACAGAAATGTGTTAGCTATCACCACCTATGGCTGGTATACTTGTGGTTTGAACACAATTGTGAACAAATAAGTTAAAGGACATGAAACTTGATCATAATTATGGCAAGCTGTGCTTGGTATCACACTAGTTAAACCCTCCTTGAACCAGTACTAGTCTGAACTCCAATATTGGCAAGAAAACTTTCACTTTTGACCAGCTAGCAACAACACAGTGTGAGGGGTGTAAGTGCCAGGGAACCAGCTGCAGCATGGTCAGTATCCTAGCAACATACTGGACACAGCTGATCCTAGTGGGGCCGGGGATGGGAGGGGAAGCTACATGATTGATTGCACTTCTTGATTGGTGGAGGGGAGGACCTACCTATTATTTAGCACAGCAACAGAGCTCACTGGGTCCTCGACATGTTCCATGTACACAGCTGCGCATGTTCCTGCTTCCTACCCAGCCTGCTCTTGTGACTGCTTCAGCCCCTGCCCTTCTCCATCGTTGGCACCCCTGGCTTCCTGACCACATCTCTAGTTCACCCATTGGCTCTAGCATTCGGCTTTTGATCCCTGTCACTAAACATCAGCTCTGCTCTTAACTGTGCTCCCAGTGTATCCTGTAGTCCTGATCCTTAACTCCAGGCCTGACTACCTCCATGGCTCCAACTATTAGGCCTGACCACACACATCCCACTCCTGTCCCTGAGAGTAAGTTTGGGGTCCAATGCTCTTTCATTTCCTGGGCTAGCTTGGGCTGAGATTATAGTGCAGGGAGTTTGCAACTCAACTGGTCAGTGAACACTTTCCATCCATTTAACGCACTAAATGAGGCGGAGTCCTGTGAAAAAAGTAGTATGTGATCATGTAATTAAAGGCAGTATCACAATGCATACACAAAGGGATCTGAATTTAATGTCCCCTGGATAACCTTTATTCTGGAATTTTCTATGCTTTGAGTGATTGACTTGCAACTTTAATGTTCTTTTAATGTCGTTTTTGCATGTAATATCCTTTGTATATTTTGTATCCATGCATGTGACTTCATTAGCAGTTATGTAGCTACACTGATGGACTCCAAGAGGAACCATTAGTCCTGGGCAGAAGTGGGTGTTGCCATTATGCATACTCTTTGAGGATGGTGGGAAATGGGCTGATCCTGGAGGATCTCCTGAAAGAAATGCAAAACAAAACTGTGACATCAGACTAGCATAGTGCTTTCACCATCAGTGCCTGCAGATATGAGGAATAACCAAGAATATAAAACAAATCTAAGGTGTGATTTGTCAGTAGGCTCTGCCTGCTATAAATAAAATGTTGGTATTAAAAATATAAATAATTTCCTTGTGGTAACCGAGCTGCACATGCATTTCCTTTTCCTTTAGGTCGTCACTATGGTGCTGTCAGTTGCGAGGGATGCAAAGGTTTTTTTAAGAGGAGTGTAAGGAAGAATTTGACCTACAGTTGTCGTAGCAACCAGGACTGTATCATCAATAAACACCATCGGAATCGTTGCCAGTTCTGTAGGCTTAAGAAATGCTTAGAGATGGGCATGAAAATGGAATGTGAGTGTTCATTACCCAAACCGATACTCTGTCTACCAAGTAATAAATATGTAGATGACCGGTACTGTTAAATATATTTTCAATTTTCTCTCTCTGTCCATGTGAAACACCAAGTTCTAAGACATCCACAATACTTTCCTGAATACAAATCAAGAAGTATCTTTGTTACAGAATTTTTGTCATCCCAAATATCTGCCTCACATTTTCTTCTCTAAACCTTTTATTTAGTTCACTTTTGTAGAGGAAGTTCAAGCTACAGTGATGAATAACTTTGAAATCAATCTCTTATGTGTGATATTATATCACATCCCCTAAGAAGGGGTAGATAGCGCCTCACTTTTAGTGCATTTTACAAGTACATTGTTTGTAATGGAGAATGACACTCCTATTTTCTGCCTGTGGCATGTGTTTGTGTGGTTTCCTGTGGGTTGTAATGCTTTGGTCTAGTTTTGGTTGTTGGGTTTAGTGTGTGGATGTTGGGTGGTGTTGGTGGCATGTGATACACAGAAGGTCAGACTAGATGATCTAGTAGTCCCTTCTGAAACTCTGTGGCCTCATTTTGGAATAACTTCTTGTGTATGGATAGATTATTTTTTTTTGCTGTCAGATTTGGGATTTATTTCTCCTGTTATAGAATAATGTACCATAAATCCCACTTGGTGCAGATTTCCCATTAAATAAGGCATGTTATGTTCTGTGAGATGAGGTGCAATGTTCTCTACCTTTGTGGCATACTATTGCATAACAATGTACTTACCCCAAATTTGTTTTATTAAAAGAAAAGACATAAAGCTAAGTTTTATATTCATTGCAAATATTATTCCAATACCTTCTTTACAAATCTGGGATTATTTTATTGTGAATATTATTTAACTCTAAAGTACCTGGAGTCAAAGGCTGTCACCAAAGAGTATACAATGCAGCTTAAGAGGGAAGTGCAAAGATATCTTTAAGACATCTTTGTGTTCTCTTGGTCCTGGGCTAGCTGTGTGCCAGTCCCCCCTTCATGTAAATTAGAACAGTCTGAAAACTGCTCTGAATTTCTCTGCCTGCCCATGATCCTAAGGGGCTGTTACACCTTCTGGGATTTATGGGGCACAGGGAAGCACCAGCCACTGCCTTATCACTGGCAATGGCCTCTGTGCCAGACACAGGTGGCAGAGAAGCTGTTATGCTAGCTATACACCATAACAGGATCCTTCTACTTTGGGATGGGCCTCACATGGCCAGCTATGCCAGCTGTAGGGCTCTTTTGAGCTGGCAGTTTAAAATGTCCTAATGCCACTTTTAGTGGCAAACTGCAGATGATGCTGCATTTCTAGAGGTTGATCCAGGGTCCACTGCAACCAGTGGAAAAGACGCCCAATGATTTCAGTGGACACTGGATCAGACTTCTGGTTAATAAGTGTAAATTATTTGCACTGGCAATCATTTTACTAAATCCAATGTTAATAAACAATACAGCAAATCCTTTCTATCCAAGGTATTTATATCATGTTCATAACCTAGTGTCTGGGCCTTATGATTTCTAACAGACATTAGGATAATTTTCTCTCCATCCCCAGTCAGTGGGGAATTTTTTTTTTATTTCTAAATTTTATTTTTGTTAAGGTGGGAAGGCTAGGTCAAAGCAATGGGTTTTATATTTTGATTGGAAGAAAGTTAGTTTCATGAGGCCATGAAGAAGAACTGCCTTATAGTTGATTGCTGTATGAATGGTACAATAATTGTAGAGTAATGCTCTGTACTTATATAGTGCTTTATATTCTATGTAGTGCACTATATGTATATATAGTGTTATACAAACATTAACTAATTCTCACAACACCCTTGTGAAGAATATCAGTTTTAATATCCCAGTTTTTGAGAAAATTTTTCAAGGGAGCACTATGTAGTTAAATGACTTACCCAAAGCCATGCTGCAAATTAGTGGCAGGAGCTCCTGGCTGCCAGTCCCATGCTTAGTCCACTCAACTATGATGACCCAGTGTTACAAGGGATACATTTAATTTTCTTTAAAATCACAACATTAATGTTGTTTTCTGATTCTTTTGCTTGAGATTCATCCATATCCCTTTTAGAACCTTGAACAATAAGTGTTTTTTCCTACACTTTAAAACTAGAGGTATTTTTAATCCTGGAGAGATTTTTTTAGGAGCCCACTAGACCTTCTTAACTGGCCAGAATCTGTGCATTACCTTTAAATCATTTACAGATCCACTGTGCCTAGGCATTAAATGCTCTTCTGCCATATAGCAGTGCAAACATTTCCTCTCAGCCTGCCTGTCCTGCTATGAATTTTAGCATTGATTTTTTAAATAAAATGTTCAAGAAATATCATTGGTCCTAACAGCTACATATTCCTTTCCTCAAAATCATAGTGTGAAAATGTGTCGTCCCGAATGCTTAACTTGTTTAAATGCAATGCAGTAACAAGCTCTAACCCCAGTCCCGCAAAACACTCAAGAATATGATTAGTCCCATTGTTTTCTTATTTAATAAACATGTGATTAAGTGCATTGCAACACTGGGGCCTATGTCTCTTCAGTTATCATACTGAATTTCCAATATTGCATTGAACTGAAATGAGCCAACACATTTCATGCAAACTGAAATCCTGCTTTAAGATTTTCCTTTATTTTAGTTTTTGGATGAATTATTTCCTTTCAAATCTGTATTTTTCTATTCTGATGCAGCGGTTCAGAGTGAAAGAAAGCCTTTTGATGTGCAACGGGAGAAACCAACCAACTGTGCAGCTTCAACTGAAAAAATCTATATCAGGAAAGACCTACGAAGCCCTCTCATAGCAACTCCAACATTTGTAGCAGATAAAGATGGGGCCCGGTAAGTTTTTAGGTGTAAAATGGGTCTGTTTAAAATGCCTTCAGGCTAGAGCTCTTATGGGGTCAGTTTTATAAACAATGGACTCCAGGGGGATGTAGGATCAGGCCCCAAAAGTATGGCCTCTTTTTCAATTCTAGAATGAAAGTTTCCTTCTTACATGATGGTGGTTATTCTTTGAGGGTTCAGATATTTCCAAACAAATGGGCATGGAAATACATTTGGATACAACAGTAATGAATACTGTATAATATCCTAACATAGATAGAAAATAGCAGTCTAGCTTAAAGGCCACATTTTCAAAAGTAGACACAATTGTATGCACAGTTTTTTCTGGTACAAGTTTTGTGTTCAAGAGCACAGTGAATATGAGCAGATAGTATTTGCAATAAAAATTTAGTCATTTAGGAATCTGACTATCTGATTCACATATGCAATGACTTCAAATAAAAATGCCGTAGCAGTTTGGAAGGCTGGACTGGAGGCTCCTTCGAAAATTTGCTGCTAAATATTTGCATTCGTGTTATGCGTGAAACTAAGCCCAGGTCTACACTATGAGTTTAGGTTGAATTTAGCAGAGTTAGATTGATTTAACCCTTCACCCGTCCACATAACAAAGCCATTTTTGTCGACTTAATGGGCTCTTAAAATCGATTTCTGTACTCCTCCCTGACGAGGGGATTAGCGCTGAAATCGACATCGCCAGGTCAAATTTGGGTTATTGTGGACGCAATTCGACGGTATTGGCCTCCGGGAGCTATCCCAGAGTGCTCCATTGTGACCGCTCTGGACAGTACTCTCAACTCGGATGCACTGGCCAGGTAGACAGGAAAAGCCCCGCGAACTTTTGAATTTCATTTCCTGTTTGGCCAGTGTGGCAAGCTGATCAGCACAGGTGACCGTGCAGATCTCATCAGCAGAGGTGACCATGGAGTCCCAGAATTGCAAAAGAGCTCCAGCATGGACCGAACGGGAGGTACTGGATCTGATCGCTGTATGAGGAGATGAATCTGTGCTAACAGAACTCCGTTCCAAAAGACGAAATGCCAAAATATTTGAAAAAATCTCCAATGGCATGAAGGACAGAGGCTATCACAGGGACCCACAGCAGTGCCATTTGAAACTTAAGGAACTCAGGCAAGCCTACCAAAAAACCCAAGAGGCAAACGCCCACTCAGGGTCAGAGCCCCACACATGCCACTTCTATGATGAGCTGCATGCAATTCTAGGGGGTGCCCCTACAACTACCCCACATCTGTATGTGGACTCCTGCAAGGGAGTCTCACGCAACAGGGATGAGGATTTTGGGGACGAGGAAGATGAGGAGGAGGGGGAGCTTGAAGATAGTGCACCCCAGGCAAGCGGAGAAACCTTTTTCCCCGACAGCCAGGAACTGTTTATCACCCTGGAGCCAATACCTTCCCAACCCTCCCAAGGCGGGCTCCTGGACCTTGAAGGTGGAGAAGACACCTCTGGTGAGTGTACATTTGTAAATATAATACACAATTTAAAAGCAAGCGTGTTTAATTATTAATTTTCCCTGAAGACTTAGGATGCATTCACAGCCAGTACAGCTACTGGAAAAGTCTGTTAACGTGTCTGGGGATGGAGCGGAAATCCTCCAGGGACATCTCAATGAAGCTCTCCTAGAGGTACTCCCAAAGCCTTTGCAAAAGGTTTCTGGGGAGGGCAGCCTTGTTGCATCCTCCATAGTAGGACACTTTACCACCCCAGGCCAGTAGTACATAGTCTGGAATCATTGCATAAGAAAGCATGGCAGCGTGTGGTCCCGGTGTTAGCTGGCATTCAAGCTCCATCCATTCTTTATCTCTCTGTGTTATCCTCAGGAGAGTGATATCATTCATGGTCACCTGGTTGAAATAGGGGAATTTTATTAAGGTGACATTCAGAGGTGGCTGTCCCTGCTGGGCTGTTTGCCTGTGGCTGAGAAGAAATCATCCTCGCTGTTCGCCATGCAGTGGGGGGAGGGGTGAAGCGATCATCCCAGAGAGAATTGGGTGTCCGGGGGGTGGTGTTAGTTGGGTTTGTGCTGCACGTTAATCCGAAAACATCAGCCTCTCCTTTTAAATGGCCGATATGTCTTTTTCAGTTTTACTCTCCCTTTTTTCCCTCTCGCAGCTACAAATGTTTCAAGCTGCCACTAGCATCTCTGTCCCAGAGGCTAGCGCAGATAAGAAGGCGAAAAAAACACATTTGCAATGAAATGTTCTCTGAGCTCATGCAGTCCACCCAAACTGAAAGAGCCCAGCAGAGTGCGTGGAGGCAGACAATGGCAAAGTCCAGGAAAGCACAAAATGAATGCAAGGACAGGAGGGACGCACAAGAGGACAGGTGGCGGGATCAAGAGAAAAGGTGGCGGCAACATGATGAGAGGAGGCAGTATGCAATGCTGAGGCTGCCGGAGGCTCAAACTAATATGCTCCGGCTTATGGTTGAGGTGCAAGAAAGGCACAGACCGCCACTGCAGCCCCTGTGTAAGCAGCCGCCCTCCTCCCCAAGTTCCATAGCCTCCTCACCCAGACGCCCAAGAACACTGGGTGGGGGTCCTCCAGGCACCCAACCACTCCATTCCAGAGGACTGCCCAAGCAACAGAAGGCTGGCATTCAATAAGTTTTGAAGTGCAGTGTGGCCTTGTCCTTGCCTCACAGCCACTGGAAATCATTCCAGACCTGCAACACTATGCGGTCCCACCAGTCTGTGCTTGTTTCCTGGGCCCAGAATCGGCGTTCCATGGCATAAGCCTACCCCATTGCCACCAGGATGGCCAAATTGCCAGGACCCGTGCTTTGAGAGAAAGACGTCTGTGTTCATGTCCTCATCACTCTCATCACCACGCTGCCATCGCCTCCTCGCCTGCTTTTGCAGGTTCTGGTTCTGCATATACTGCATGATAATGCGCAAGGTGTTTACAATGCTCATAACTGCTGCGGTGATCTGAGCGGGCTCCATGCTTGCCGTGGTATGGTGTCTGCAGGAGAGCAGAGTTGCAGGGGAAGCGGTGGTTGGATGACCAGTTTTGCAGACCTACTGCACCGTCTGCTGCCAGGACACAACAGCTGAGCGGGCTGCACACTTGCCGTGGTATGGCAAGACAAGAGCAGCCGAGCAGAGTTGCAGCAGAAGCGGCCCTGCGAGACCACCGGGAGAGCAGAGTGGCAGCAGAAGTGGTAGATGATGACAGTCATATAGAGGACCTGCGAAGTGGATTCATAGCATCGGGAGAGCCGAGTGGCAGTGGAAGCGGTGGATGACGACGACGGTTAGCAGTCCTACTGCACCATCTGCTGAAAGCAGTATGGCACCCGCACGGAAAAAAGGCTCGAAACAATTGTTTGCCGTTGCTTTCACGGAGGGAGGGCCGGCTGACGACATGTGCCCAAAACCACCCGCGACAATGTTTTTGCCCCGTCAAGCATTGGGAGCTTAGCCCAGTATTCCAATGGGCGGCGGAGACTGCGGGAACTGTGGGATAGCTACCCACAGTGCAACGCTCCGAAAGTTGACGCTAGTCTCGGTACTGTGGACGCACTCCGCCGACTTAATGTGCTTAGTGCATTAGTGTGGGGACACACACAATCAACTATAAAATCGCTTTCTAAAAAATCAACTTCTATAAATTCAACCTAATTTCATAGTGTAGACATACCCTAAGTGTCTGATAAATACTGCGGTCAAAGACATTTTGTTCTTTTATATTTTTTTCTGTTGCACAGGCAAGATGTGTTCTCCTTCACAGCCCTAATAACCACATTGCAATCAGTAAGTATTATTATTAATATCATGTATTTGTTATTTATATAGAACCATTCGTTTGCATGACATAACACAGTTGAAAAATGCATGACAGGTTCCTGCCTCAGAGAGTTTACCATCTCAGTGCCCGGCCCTGAGATGATAAACTCCCTGAGGCCTGAATCTGTCATGCATTATTCGTCTATATTGTGCTATTCAAACCTATCATGCTATATAAATAACAAATACATCATAATTATACTATTTGACTACAAAGCACTTCATAGATCAAGCCCTAAGTTAGGTATGGAGAAAGAACATTAGACAAGGGGCATGGTAAGAGAAGGACAAAGATTTAAGTAAAATTGGGATATGTGGTTTTATGTAAACATTGTTCTTTCCTACCACACTTCTTCATCTGATATGATCCTTGTCTTTGCCCTGTCTCACTTGGAATGCCGTTTACTTGGGGCATGATCCTCTGTGAAGTGCCATGCAATTTACATAGCTAATAATGGCTTACTGGTTGTAATGAAGAAGACGACACCTGCCAGCATGACAGAAGAAATCAAATCAAAAAGCTAATGAGCGGAAAATCAGGTTGAGAAATCACCAGCACTTTAGCAAAAGAAAGAAAGGCATTAATTTGCTGTGGCAAAATCACCAACCCTCTAGTTAAAGTGCAGTTTCTTCCAGGATACAAACTATTTTTTGGAAATAGTTTTCAGCAGGACTAAATTCTGATGGATGAATTCTCAACATCAAAAATGGAAAGCCCAATAAAAGTAATCCTCATTATACTGCACTGAAATAGGTTCCCTCTTAGATTCTTTACATTTCTGAACAGGTCAACAGGTCTTCTTGATCCAGGAATGCTTGTGAATATTCAGCAGCCTTTGATACGGGATGATGGTACAGTCCTGCTAGCTACAGACTCCAAGGTAATATTCCTTTCATTTTTTTACAAATCTTACATTTTATTTACTAAATTATTTTGGGTATGTTTGTAAAAAGAAATCCTTCTGACCCCTTTATAGTCACAAAAGGTCCTTACCTCAGCCGAACATTTGCTGTTCCACTGCAAAGAGGTAGAGGGCATTAGGAATTGGAGAGACCACCACAGTGCAACAAGTGGCAGGTCTACTGGCTCTGTCTGTGGGGATTCACTCACTGATTATTGTCCCCTGAGGAAGAAGATGGAGTGGGGGGAGGCTGCTGCAGGCAGCCCTGAAGTTGTTGTTGCCTTTCTGTAACATGTAGTCTGAGGTGATAATACCACAGTGCGCTGAAACAAATCCTATATTTAAGGAGAGAGAGAACGGATGATCTAGAAGATCTTTTCCATCTTCAGCTTATCTGATTCAGTGGGATGTACTTTTTTCCCCTGGATATAATTATGCATGAATTTAGGTTGATAACCCTGTAGTTGATCCATCACAAAAATACACATCAGAAGTCAGGAGGAAAAGTTTTGGCGAATTTAATGATCACCCTTACCCAAATGTCAGCCACTGTCCTTCACTGTGGATATTCAGGAGGAAGTGAAACCTATGTGGGAACAGAGGAAGGAGATACACAGGATTTAATAATTATCAAGAGATTACATACAGCATTTCACCTAACTATATATAATTTTGATCCATTAATATGGTTTCTTTCTTTGTAGGCTGAGACAAGTCAGGGTGCTTTAGGAACACTGGCAAATGTTGTAACGTCCCTTGCCAGCCTTAGTGAGTCACTTAATAATGGAGATACTTCTGAAATCCAACAAGAGGATCAATCTGCCAGTGAGATCACTCGGTATGAATTTATATTAGCAGCTTATTTGGAAGGTGAACCTATACATTATAGGTTCATGCCACACTAGTAATGACCTTTTTAACTCACTGTATACTTTCATTAATGGTTTGGCTGCTGACATCAACCTGAACTTCTGTGACTCTGAAGAACTCCTTTCATTCATGTTACTGTTATAGATGCTCTCCCCTATTTAGTAACAAATGCAGTATAATAAAGCAGGGTTGTATTTCATATTTAATAAGTTACAGGAAAAGATAACTGGTTTGTGACACAAAAATATATTTCCTTCAAAAATGCTGAAAATCAGTAACAGTTTTGTGTTATTTCAGTTTTTTACTTTGAGTATGCATGTGTGTGTGTAGTGTTTGTGAAAGTAAGGAAATAATAGCTACAGTGCTGTGTCAAGTATAGTACAGGCAGATGGTGTGCAAGCTTCTCCCAGACAATTGTCATGAACTTCAGTCCTGGCCTTTAATGTCTCCAGATTTACTCTTAAATTTTCCCTAGGACAAGGCTGACAATGTGGTTTGTAATATGGAAAAAATTGGGATTAGGTTGAGATCAACAAACCTTGTCTTTTATGGCAATGCAAGGCAGAATTTGAACCCCAGCTCTCCAAAGTGATCTCAATCTCTTTTGTTTATTTCAAAATCAGGAAACAGGGAAGTAAAATCTTGCAGCTCCATTTTTTAATTGTTTTTTTTTTCCCTCAAAAACGATAATATGTAATGCTAATGTATGAAAACAGGAAAAATTTGGATTTTATCCCATCTTTTCCATACAGGTTCCTAGGATAAGATTTTTAAAAGTAGAAGCTATATTTAGACTCCTAAATAAGCTAACTGATTTTTAAAAGTGCAGAGCACCCGGCTGCTTCTGCTGATACCAACTATATACTTTTAAATCTTGGTCCCAAGGAATAAATAGTTAACTTATAAACAGATTGCTTGGAAAATAGTTGCATAACAGCATTATGAAATACCATAACGTGAATATGAGTATGAAATGGGCTCAATTCTCCTCAAAGTCTGAGCTCCAGTCATTATGGGAGAAGAGTTGTGGGGTAACCTCAAGGAGCTGTTTGCATTTTCCTGATTTTGCACTGGCCTAGCTGCAATTTTAGTTAGAAAGAAACCTAGGGGCTGCTGAAATATATGCCATTCCCATAACATCCCTAAGAGATCTTATGCCAGTGGAGGATCCTTGTAATGAAGCCTCAAGGTGAGAAAGGGGAAGGTGGGTGAGCAATGCAGGAGCCACCGTTACTAGAGTAGGAAAGAACAGCTGGTGCAGGGCTTATGCCAGGGGAGAATTCCCCTCTGCAAGGGAATTTTCCATCAGACATATATGGCCAGAACCTGCCTGGCCCCTTCACACTGCCTGAGCAGAGCAAAAGACCAGAATGTATTGGAGAATATGGCCCAGAATCTGTACCAAAAAAGTTTCTGGCTCATCTTCTAGATGGAAAAACATGTAGTGTTTGATTTGCCCTCTACTCCAAATGTGTTAATGGTTGTAAGGAAATAAACTTGCATTGTTTCTTCATTTATTTGCAGGGCATTTGATACTTTGGCTAAAGCACTTAATACCACAGATGGCACAGTAGCTCAGAACTTGGCAGATGGGATGGATCCTACAGGAGGAGGGAATATTCATGTAATCAGCAGAGATCAGTCAACACCAATCATTGAAGTGGAAGGACCCCTACTTACAGATACACATGTCACATTTAAGGTGAGTGCTTCCTGAAATATCCTTTTGGCAAAGACGTAATCTGGAATGATTTTAGTATCATGTTTTTCTTCTATTGTTGTATTTTGCAGAAGTCAGTATTGTCTAGTACATTAGTTGTCATAAATATAAAGGGAAGGGTAACCACCTTTCTGTATACAGTGCTATAAAATCCCTCCTGGCCAGAGGCAAAATCCTTTCACCTGTAAAGGGTTGAGAAGCTAAGGTAACCTTGCTGGCACCTGACCCAAAATGACCAATGAGGGGACAAGATACTTTCAAATCTGGAGTGGGGGAAAAAGGTGTGTGTGTGTGTGTGTGTGTGTACCTTTGCCGGGAACAGATCAAGGATGCAAACCCTCCAACTCCTGTAAAGTTAGTAAGTAATCTAGCTAGAAAATGCATTAGGTTTTCTTTGTTTTGGCTTGTAAATTCGCTGTGCTGGAGGAAATGTGTATTCCTGGTTTTGTGTCTTTTTGTAACTTAAGGTTTTACCTAGAGGGATTCTCTCTGTTTTGAATCTGACTGCCTGTGAGAATATCTTCCATTCTAATCTTACAGAGTGTTTCTTTTATCTTTGTTTTGTTCTTCTAATAAAGTTCTGTTTTTTAAGAATCTGATTGGGTTCTTAGGGTCCTAAGAAACCCAAGCTGGTCTGTGTTCAACTTGTTTATTCTCAGGCCTCCCCAGGAAAGGGGATATAAGGGCTTGGGGGGATTGTGGGGGAAGAGAAACTCCAAGTGGTCCTGTTCCCTGGTTCTTTGTTAAAGCGCTTGGTGGTGGCAGCATACCCTAGTCCAAAGGCAAAGATTTTGTGCCTTGGGGAAGTTTTTAACCTAAGCTGGTAGAAATAAGCTTAGGGGATCTTTCATGCGGGTCCCCATATCTGTACCCCAGAGTTCAGAGTGGGAAAGGAACCTTGACACTAGCTATTGTTGTTAAGGACATAATAAAAGATTTCCACATTTCCCTTGCATTCTGTATCCTTGAGCACTGCATATGCAGTCTCATTGGGACCTTTCAGTTGACAGTGGGATGATGTTTGTTTTAGATTTAGATCTTACATATAGTACTACTGTGAATCACTTTTAGTGTTAAATATAACAAATAATATCAGATGTGTAATTCATATACATTGTTACTAAAAATTATTTTGAACTCTTGACTTTGGTTGTTTGAGGCATCCTCACATCAAGTATGTTAAAATTTGGGCCATTTTTTAAGGATTACAACTATGTTCTTGATGGTCGTGATTTGACGAACTGTAGTTGTGGGATTGCACTTTGAAGCAGCTGTATCTTCAAGTGAATTTGAGCAAGAACATCTTTTAGATGTATTGTATGGGAGAAACCAGTAAGGATTTTCCTTCTTTCTGCCAAAGTGCATTTCCTTTAAGCAGATAAAAATCATCAAGATAGTGAAATAAGCAATGTATAGGAAAGCTAGTCTGTGTACTTCAAGTTATTTTGTGTTTTTTGCAAGTGTAGATTCATATGGCATGGCTTTGCCAGAACAGTATAGATTTTAAATAAGTTGTAATTTTAAAGAATTGCACTTAGTTTAAGACCTGATTCTCATCAATTTTATAGTAATTCTGAAGCTAATAATGCTGCATGCTGCAATGAAAATTCAGGGATAAGTGTTATTGAATTAATACTAAAATACTTTTAAAGTAACCATCCCATTTGGTTTCCCATATTATTCCTTTCACACCTCCCCATTCCCAGCCTGTTCTATTTACCACTACTACTAAGTTATGTGCTGAAGTTTTACTAATCTAACTTCATGATAAATGACAGTTTTCAGCAAAAGACTCTGAATGCAGATTGCATGTTTTTATTCAAATTTATTTCATTCATAATAAACATTGATTTATGTCTGACCTGTACAGACTATACTGTACTCTTATTTCCGTGCAGCTAACAATGCCTAGTCCAATGCCAGAGTACCTTAATGTACATTACATCTGTGAGTCAGCATCACGACTGCTTTTCCTCTCAATGCACTGGGCTAGATCTATCCCTGCTTTTCAAGCACTTGGGTGAGTGAATATTTTTCTATTGAGTGATTATTTAAGTATTAAGCTGAACATTTTGCAACTGCGTGGATTTTTAAAAGATAAAGTTAATTAATTTATAATAAATTGTTTAAAATGTATAGACATTATACAGCATTTTTCTACATTTTTAAGACTATGAAAAACAAGATGACTAATGATACTTGGCATTATAGTGGGTAATGAGGCTGTATTGTGAAATTGAGTCAAAAGCAAGCAACTAATTTTTGGACATATAACTTGGCAACTCTAAGTAGCAGTATCTCCATTTTGCAGATAATCTGTAATCATTTCTCATAGCCAATGCATCCAGCCCCAACCATTTTTGTTGCTGTTTTTTTAATTTCTGTAATTTGTCAATATCTGCCTGTTACTAAGATGCCCAGAATACTATCATTATAATTTATAACCATAATTTTACACGTCAGATCTACAGGATAATACCAACATGAGTTTAATACTTGCTAGAATTGTTTGTTTGATTTGTGTCTTTATAGACAGGACTGTAACACAAGCCTAGTTCGTGCCTGCTGGAATGAGCTGTTTACCTTAGGCCTAGCACAGTGTGCACAGGTGATGAGTCTGTCTACTATCCTAGCAGCTATCGTCAACCACCTGCAGAACAGCATACAGGAAGGTATGTGTTAGGTCACGCTAGATATTAGGTAAATGTTAGGCAGGCATGTGCTGCTTTCAGCAGTAAAGAGTTAAAAACCTGTGTCTGTACATTTTTTTTCACAAAGTATTTTCCAAGGGGGAACAGGTATTGTTCCCCCTGAGATCCAAACACAGAAGGAACCCTCCACTGTTCCTGCACGGGATGTGGGAATCAATCTCACCAACTTCACAAAGAGCTCTCCATAGTTCTAGGCTACATCTACACTACAGCGGGATCGAGGCTCTGAGATCAATCCACCGGCGGTCGATTTAGTGGGTCTAGTGAAGACCCGCCAAATCGACAGCAGATCACTCTCCACTTGACCCCTGTACTCTACCCGAGAAGAATAAGGTAAGTCAACGGGAGAGTTTCTCCCATCGACCCCCTGTAGTGTAGACCCTGCGGTAACTCGACGTAAGGTATATTGATTCCAGCTACTTTATTCACGTAGCTGGAGTTGCGTAGCGTCAATCAATTTACCATGGTAGTGTAGACATAACTCTAGAGATCAAAACATGGGGTGGGGCCCAGGCTAGAGGGGACACACACAGTATCTCTCCTTCCTCCCTTTTATCCAGCTGTGAGTCTACAAAAAAAGCTGATACATCTCAAAGCTACATTAACTTTTCTGTGAACTGCGTTTATGGAGAGTTCCAAAGGAAGCCCCAACGCGGGGGTCTCTGGCAGCACAGAGGCAGAACGGGAGCTCAAGAAGCTTAGAAGGGCACTGTAGTGTGCTGATACAGGGTTTTAGCATAGATGCCCTTTCATGTCCAGCAGATTTCTCAAGATATGGGCTGAAATCCTGCACATCCAACAGAAGAATTCAAAGGAAGCACTGTAGAGTACACACCATAGAGTTTTCCTCCCAGCCTAGAATTTCATATGAGTATTTTTCTTTGCTGGAGGTGATGAAACATACACGCCCACCACAAGTTGGTTACAGTTACACTTTTGAAATAGTTGCTGACCATCACTGCACAATTATTACTGCAAGTATATCACACTACCAAAATATAAATGTTTAATAATTAATTAATGGCTGTGTCACAAAGTTATATCAAAAAGCTCAAAACAAACTGCCTCTGGCGTCCTTAAGAAGATAGGTATCTTTTTTGATTCTGTGTTAACCTGCTAATTTTTATCTCTAGAATGGAGGATGATCTGGTACAGCTGGCTTTTTTTACAGGGAGGGTTATGCAAATTAATATGATTGATATGGGTAACTTTTCTTTTTTTTATAAATGGGGGAAATTATTTTGTCTGCAGAAAAAAAAAATCAGTAGTGACAGCCTAAAGTGTGCAAATACAATTTATCTTTACTTACAGAAGTAGAAGAAACCAGATGTATATGTAGCCAGAAAATTACAGAATACTACATATGTCATGAAACTAGCAAGGATTAGTACCAGGATGAAGGTACAAAGATAAATACGTTTTTAAAATCTACGTAAACCATGAAAACATAGTTTCAAGGTGACTGCAGAAAATAGTCACAGTTCAAGATAGGCAAACCTCAAATGATTTACCCTCATTAATAATCATAATTTTTCTTGGAAGGATTCTTCCATGGTGTGGAAAGCCTTTAGATACAATGGAACTGATGTAATTCCACTGTTTATGTGAGGGCAGCACACAAAGGGGTCAGGATTCTGTGTGCTCTATATTAGATCCCAGCACACCATGGGGTTTTGAGGGGATGATGGAGAAGCAAAACCAAGGGATCTGTGACTATGTTCACTGAACATTCTTTTTACCCTTCCCTCCATTACATCAATGAGGAGGATACAGGAGCTGCAGAGGTCAACTGCAGTTGCAGCTCTGAAGGAGCTGCTGTAAATTAGAGCAGCTCCTGAGGCTGTTCTAATATATTCCAGGAGCCACTCTTGCCACCAGCCAGTTCAGAATCTAGGCAGTAAAAAAACGTATTAAAGCCACCTTTGCCACTCCTCTTCCTGGGCTGTGCCTTCTATGGGTGCTTCTTGAAAGCTGAGCACAGAATCTGTCACATCATTTTTAAATCCTGTCACTAAAATTTCTTAATAATAAACTGACAGCCATAGCGTACAAACTGTCTTAGCAGGAGAGGGCAAACTACGGCCTGTGGGCCAGACCCGGCCCATCAGGGCTTTCAATCCAGCCCGCGGGATTGCCAGCCCCATGGCGCAGTGGGGCTAAGGCAGGCTCCCTGCCTGCCCTGGCCCCACGCCACTCCCGGAAGCAGCCGGCACCATGTCCCTGCGGCCCCTGTGGGGGGAGGGCAGAGAGCTCCATGCGTTGCCCTCACCTGCAGGCACTGCTCCTCGCAGCTCCCATTGGCCAGGAACGGGGAACTGCGGCCAGTGGGAGCTATGGGGGTGGTACCCACAGGCAAGGGTAGTGCACGGTGGAGCCGTCTGCCCCACCCACCCTCAGGAGCCACTGCCGGCCATGCTGGCCACTTCCAGGAGCAGTGCAGGGCCAGGACAGGCAAGGAGTCTGCCTTAGCCCCACTGCGCACCACTGCCACCCCGGTGCTGCTTGAGGTAAGCGGCGCCGGGCCAGAGTCCACACCCCGAACCCCTGCCACACCCCAACCCCTGCCCTGAGCCCTCTCCTGCACTCCACACCCCTCCTGCACCCCAACTTCTTGCCCCAGCCCTACATTCATGGCCCTGCATACAATTTCCCCACCCAGATGTGCCCTAAGGCCAAAAGGTTTGCCCACCCTGGTCTACAGGTGCAATATGTTATATATTTTTAATTTCTACCACAATACATTTCAGTTATCAACAATGTGCATTTTTTTCATGAGTTTTTTTGCTTGGTTTGGGGAGAGGGGGGAAGGTATGTCTGGAAGGGGAAAATCAGCAATTACAGCACTTACTGATTTAAAATGTAATCCGTTCAAACCTAATAATCGTAGGCAAATCCAGCCCCAAAACCAGCCCCTCAAACCACAACATAACTGGTGGTGTTCTACTGCAATGGTTCTCAACCAGGGGTCTGGGGCCCCCTGGGGGGCCGCAAGCAGGTTTCTGGGGGTCCTCCAAGTAGGGCCAGCGTTAGACTCACTGGGGCCCAGGGCACAAAGCCTAAGCCCTACTGCATGGGGCTGAAGCCCAGGGCCCTGAGCCCTGCCACCTGGGGCTGAAGCCAAAGCCTGAGCAACTTAGCTCTGCGGGGGCCCTGTGGCATGGAGCCCCAAGCAATTGCCCTGCTTGCTACCCCGCTACCGCCGACCCTGGCTTTTATATGCAGAAAATCAGTTGTTGTGGCACAGGTGGGCCATGGAGTGTTTATATCATGTTGTGGGGGGCCTCAAAAAGCAAAAGGTTGAGAACCCCTGCTCTAGTGCACAGGGAGAGGGGCATGATGTGAAGAGGCCATGGAGGGGGGGCTTGAATACCCTGCATTCCCTGAAGAGTATGCCCTTCAGGTTTCTCTGCATCTGAGAGTGGAGGGGGCCTTGAAGATGAAGGATTAGGTAATGCCCTGTAAGGATTAGGTTAATGCCCTGGAGGTTACAGCAGTTGCAGGAGCCATAAGGTGGCTTTACTATTCCATAGCCTGAGTGAAAAGAATTCCATCTTCAGCCCTGACCCTTCCACACCTCCTCAGTCAGTACCTAGCCTTGTTACTTGGGATTTGCATTGAGAAAAGTATTTGGTTCTATATAAGGTCATGTTATGTCACTCCAAGGTACTAAAGTAAGGGTATCAAGTTAAGTTTTGTATTATTATTTTAAAATGGTGAAGACAAAACACTAGAAATTTATGAGTGTTGTAACCATTCTGGGAAACTAGAATTCCAGCTGTTTTTCCTGTGTACTTTTGCACTATTGTTTCCCATACATTAAAAAAATAAAAATGTGGTAGCACCCGTATCACCCTGAATAATCGCAATACCAGAATCAACGTTTATCTATCTTAGAAATTTTATTGTATTTTCATTCTTGTTTTCAAGACATTATGTAAAAATGTCTAGTTTTTTTTCTTTTCAATTTTTATTGCGGTTGCAGAAAAAATATACAGTTATCCTAAATTGCATCAAAAATCCAATTTAAGACACACAGGGCTAAGCAAATCTATGCAGCCATTAGCAGTACAGATGAAGGCAAAAATACTTAAGTTATAATGATATGAAATATAAGTATTAGAGGTCATGCATGGAGTAAAGTTCTTTTAATTTGTATTTTTTCAGCTGAAAAGTTTCATACATGGTAGGTTTCTTGATCTGACTTATCTTGATGAAGTTAGTGAATGGAAATCATGTGTCCAGATATCTGTCTTAATATAATCTCATGTTTCTATCTGTCATATTTCTTTGACTGGTCTATAAATATACAGTTGGGGGAAGGGGAAAAGGAAAACTGTTTCTCATTTTCTTACCAAAGTAGGAGTCTTTTCTTCCCTTTTTTAGCTAATGCTTCCTGAAACACAGTGCCCCTCATATATCTCCTCTTAAGGCTCAACTAAAACTGTGGAATTTTAGAAAATTCATAATTGGTGTAGCACTTTTCAAATAAACATTTTTAAACAGAAAGGAGATGAAGCCAACACAAAGGACATGGTAATATGAAAGGCTGAGGGATCAACCTGTGTGTAACCGAGTTAATTCTACTCCACAAGAGGGGAAAAGGGTACATACTATAGTGAACAAACAGTTTATTTCTAAAGGAACAGATATGGAAAAAGGTGGCACAGTCATATTGCATTAGCCTTTCACTTCCGGACAGCCAGACTGACTCCCGATTGGGTCACAAGTTACAATAAGGTAATATGGTAGTCTTCACCTAATCTCTCACTTTTGTCCACCTCCCCAGAACCCCAGTTTAATTTATAGCACCATTCAGCACATTCTGCTTAGGAGAGGCTCATCATCAGAATAACATGGGTGTTGCTGGTTAGGATTTAGATATATTGGCAGACCTTTGTGGAAAAACATTGCATTATGTTTGCCAGTACTGTGCCTGACTCAGTTTATTAGATCCTCAGTCCTCACTGCCATGAGTATTAATTCATGCACGATATATTTTTATATGGTCAAAAAAAGTTTATAGTACAATTCAGAAGGTTTAAAATTTCATTTGATCTATTCCTATAAAGGGGATGGGTGTTGGTTTCATTAATTTTTCAAATGTATTTGAACTCTCTTAAGAGAGTATGTAATGTCTATTTGTAGATAAGCTTTCCGGAGACAGAATAAAGCAAGTCATGGAACACATCTGGAAACTTCAGGAGTTCTGTAACAGCATGGCCAAGCTTGATATTGATGGATATGAATATGCATACCTTAAAGCTATAGTCCTCTTTAGCCCTGGTAAGGCATTTGGCAACCATTATAATGATCTTCCCCTGTGTTTCTAACTGCAGTTCAGATGCTGAACTTACAAACTATTAATCTTTTGGCACCAGGAGATTTTAAAGAGAACCAAATATCCAGTGATGAAGAAGAGACTGTTCTACTGAGTTGTTCATAAAATATCTCACAGCACCATAAGACTTTATCATCAATAACGCCTTTTAAAAAATAACTTTTGGGGCACTTTTGGGGTAATTGATTTAAGGCTCCACAAATTCCACATGTTGTATACATACTTACATATATTTAAAGGCCAGATTCTCAGTCCCCTAGCCCTTTCCCAAGCTGCTTTGTGATACTCTGACAGCACAAAGAAGCCTGAAAGCTGCTCTAATAGTGCAGCTGGGGATTTTCTTGGTGTAAGGGGATCCCTGAGTGGCATAAAGCTGTGCTATCCATTTCCAACCCCTCCTCTGTGCATGGGTCATGTCAGGATTGGGAGCAGGCATGTGTGACAGATGACAGAATTTGTCAGTTTTCGTTTAATATGGAATATAATTAATGGTAAGAATGGTGTGGGGAAATATATCCTCTGGCTATAAGTGACTGTAAGGAATTTGATTCAGTGTTTACATTCTTTTATTAAGAATGTCCAAGAGGAGGTAGAAGATGCAAATGTGAGTTGAAAGTCTACTATGGTTTAGATACATCCTCCAATAAACACAATATCCCTCCCTCCACCAATTTGTTAATAAGGACAATGAGCATAAGAGCTGATAACTAAAAAATATACAATGGACATTGTGTATGAGATCTGAGGATTTCCTCAGAGAGGACACCTTAGTCAGGGTTATCCATAGGCATATCAAAGTACAAAGTGATAATCAGGCAGGGGAAGGGGAGTTAAACATGTTCCCGGGACATTGAAAGGGTAGAGAAGAAGTGCTGACAGGCTGAGTGAGAGGGAAGCTCTCTCTTAGAAATGTAGGGTATTTACTTTTATTTCCACTGTAACTAATTCTAACCTATCTACCTCACTGAGTTTTGCAAAGTATTCAGACTAGGGATGTCGGGCAAGCCTTTTCTTTTGCTTTAATATTTTCTCTATCTACTCTTAATAAATCTTATTTTAATTAGATTAATTTAGGGTCTTGGACTGTTGCTTTGGGGAATTTCTCACAGACTGTGCCTTGGGTTTTTCTCTAGTAATAGTAATAATAATCCATAGCTCTTATCTATGAGCTTTTTATGAGCAGATCTCAAAGTTCTTTACAAGGAGGTAAGTTTCATTATCCCCATTTTACAGATGGGGAAATTGCGCCACAGGCAAGTGAAGTGACTTGCCCAAGGTCACCCATCAGGCTGTTGGCAGAGTGGAAATAGAATCCAGATCTCCTGAGTCCTAGTTCAGTCTCTCTCCACTAGAGACTAGACCACACTGTAAGAGATGCTTCTAGTTGATGTGGGAGGAGAAAGACTCCAAGCATAGGCCTGCTCTAGTCCTTTTCGAGGGAGAACAAGAAGGAACACGACACTTGTGGCCCTATGAGCCTGTCGCTGAAGAAGTTTTGGCATAGCCACACATATGCCATTTTGTGCCCTTCTGATCATTTGACTGCTCAGTGAGGAGCTGAAAGCATCTGGAATTGTGACAACACAAACCAGTGGAAGTTTGGAAGTCAAAAAAAATCTTGAAAGCTAGAAATTGGTTACTCTACCTAGTGAGTTCAAACAACAGAGGGAAACCCATTTGAAATGAGGAGGAGCAGAAACAGATGATTATGCCCTCAAAAGCTGTCCACCCTGTAGCCTGATTGGACCCATTGGTAGCAGGTGTGCACTCAGAATTGTTGTGCTCCCAGTTCTGTGGGCCCAGCCAGCTGCAGAAGGAAAAGTGAGTGCACTAATTCTAAAGCCAGGAATGAAATTTTAGCCAAATACACGTATTACAGAACCAACAGTGAGCAGAAAGTACAATTACAGCATCAGCCTATATATTAATGAGCAATATCTGTTCATAATACAACTCATAACAAAATTATATTAAGCATGTGTATATAAATGATAACATTATGTATTGTGTCCAATACATTAGTTGGCAAATAATTCATTTAATAACATATATATGAATGTCTTTTAAAATAATGTACATCATCTCAGAATGATTTATTGAGATTTAATGAGGTACTCCTTACTGCAGCTATCATATCAACCATGGTACCCAAGAGGAAGAGTTGAATGAAATTAAGTGGAAGGTTCTTTGTAAGTACTCTTGACTTATTTTATGATTAAACCATACACAATTGGAAATGTTTTCTTTCTTTAGATCACCCTGGTCTGACGAGTTCAAGCCAAATAGAAAAATTCCAAGAGAAGGCACAGATGGAGTTGCAAGACTATGTCCAAAAAACCTATCCGGAAGATACTTATAGGTATTTTTTTTTTTGATAAATTCTGTGAGCAATGGTTGCAGCATAAAGACATAAGACTGTTGTTAAATTTAGTTTTGTGGGGACTCAGATAAAAGATTGAGGCCCTCATTTGCACATTTATAAAAGCAGACATGTTTAGTTTAAACAGGGCAAGAAGCAGGATTGGCGGCCTGCAATTTTTTAAATTTTATAGAGCCTGGTGTAGGTATGTGGGAGGGAGTGTTGCAGGAGACTCTTATTATTTTTAAGTTAGAAGAGCCAAATAGTCTGAGACCATAAAAGGGCTGAACCAATTCCTGTCCTTTTAAAGTTGAACAGATTATGTATGGTAAGTTTCATCCATCTTCAGACTACCAACATATAAACCTTTGAAAACCAAGTTTTAGATGGCAAATAGTAACTAAGCCCCTTAAGCTTGTAATTAGAAGAAATTCTACCTACCTGTGTTTTTAATTTTTGCCTCCATTTTTTAATTTCCAAGGACATTTGTCTGAAATGTTGGTTGCACAGAATTTCCTTTGTTTCCTAATTACTCTGGCTTTATCCCTCAGAAGTGAAAAATAAAACTGAAAAATAAAAATCTTCTCCCATACAGTTATACTTCTTAATAAAGAATGAGGGAACAGAAATTCATAAATGGCCAAATTTCCCAAAGATTGGCTTCCATTTTTGTGAGTGCAGTTGGCACCCTCTTGTTCACTTGTGGGTGAATTCAGAATACTTGCACTTCTAAATAATTGACTGCAGGCATAAATCAGATAGATAAAGTATTCAAATTTATGGCTACAAAAAGAGATGCCAGACTTCAATCCCTTTACCCTCACTTTTACAAGAGATGGTGTGTTAGCAGAATTGGTTCTACACGTAATGTTTTCCACAGCTAGCGATGAACCATCAACAGGTCTCGTTTATTGCTAGAGGGCTTTGTTATTATGTGCTTAAAATAATTTCTTCAAGAAACTCACTTATTTTGATTTTTTTTGTCATGGGATCCTGCTATTTAAACATGGTAGATATGCCACAGAATTACTGTAAAGTAAAACTCCTTTTAAATGTCAGCAGTGGTATAAGGTTAGCTTCTGTATATTTGTAGATTTTAGTTACTGTCTGTACATTAACAAAACATGGGGTTTGGGACTAGCATAAAAGGGAGCAACAGACCCTTCAGAATTCCCCTTTCTTTTCAGATATTTCTGCTTCCTTTTTTATACATACTCATGCCCCTCTTGCTATCTGTTTTTTCATTAACAAGTTGCTAGGCAACTGAGAGTGATGCCATATAGATTATTTAAACTAATTAAGCATTTTGCTCTTAAAAATGTGAAAATGTCCTCATTACTCAGTATGAGACATTGTCCTTAGCCATAAAACACTTGCAAAGCTGGGAATTTCAAAGACAGTAGATTTAAAGAACTGTGCATTTTTCATTTAATTTGCAAAGTGGAAGAATAAGCATAGACATTCTTTTCAGAGTAGCTAAATTAACATAAATTGCCTTTCTTCTCACTCATGAGTTACTTTAACAATAAAAGCAGGCCCGGCTCTTTAGCAGCACAGTAGTTTAGATTTATTTGCATTATACCTTTTCATAATCTTCTGAACTTCTTTTCTAGGTTAGCCCGGATTCTGGTTCGCCTGCCAGCACTTAGACTGATGAGCTCTAGTATTACAGAGGAACTTTTTTTTACTGGTCTCATCGGAAATGTTCCGATTGACAGCATAATCCCATACATCCTCAAAATGGAAACAGCAGAGTATAATGGTCAAATAACTGGCACATCTGCATAGTGGGAACAATGCACCTTGGTGGATCAAAGTAATTTTAGTAAAACAAGTAACTACACAATTAAGAGAGATAAGTTTAAAAAAAAAAAGACATTTTGGTATGTACAAATATTTCCAACATGTTACCAGTTTCCTACCAGACTGCTCCTTGTCTATTTATTTCCAGTGACAAAGTATAAAAAGCTATTAAAACACCTCCGACTAGGACCCTTTTCTGCCATAAGGAGTGTTTTGATGCCTTTCATTCAAAAGGCTGTAGATTACTGAACATACTTTTAACATGCTTTGTATTTAGAAATTATCAATGGGCAAAAATAGAGTTTTATAATGTCAGAGATTAGTATAAAAAATTGCTAAAAGAAGAACAGTATGTACATATTTAAATTTTTCCTTGGAATTAATATCTAATAATTACCAGGATATAATGATGATAGCACTTTCTAAGCACTTCTTGTCAAAGCGATAATGTCATCAACATTTTACTTATGAGCAGGGCAAATGGAAAATTGCATATGTTTTTGGTCAAATTGCTAGTGATTTCTGTGAAGGCTATAGGAGACAATCATTTATACTACAAAATATTGCTATGAATAATGTTATGTATTTAATGGTAAAGTGGAAATTTAAAGCAAATTTCTACACTGTTAGCACTAAACTCTGCTAAATTAGTGAAAATGAGCTTTATTTGACATAAGCATAATGACTATAGTATAATTAGCAACATTAATAAATGCTACAGAAATTGCCCAAATTGGAAGGCAGAATACCAATTTTTTGCCATAGTAATAATGAAACTTTCAGATTCCTTAAAGTTTCAGTTCCAGCCTGGCATAGATGTTTACACAGTCATGATAGACGTTATTCCAACAGGACGACTTTTGGTTGTGGCGGAAATCAGTCATTAACTGGCAGGGAAGCAATCCTTCCAACTAGAATCATGCACTCCTAGTCTCTGTGTATACTTTTTATACTTCCAAATTCATTCCTTCTGTCTGCAGCCGTAAATGACCCTCACCATCCTAGGAGCCAAAGGGGATGATTGTGACTACGTTAGAGCCCATAACGCTGCTGTCAGATAAAGGATAAGTGCAGAACATGAGGTTCTCTTCCTTCCCCAGGAACTGAGCATCCTGTCTTTGCAGTGCTCCCTACCCTGTTCTGATCCAGTTCTAAATTGGAGCGTCAGCTGGGTTTTTTATATTCATTCATGTGCAGTTACAGTTAATGACCGATTGTTTGGAGTTAGAATACTAACTATCTTTGTTTTTATCTTGGGTAGTAACCTATCAAGTCGTTTTCTAGGATTCACCTTTTCCTGCTAATATTGCATTTATTTTAGTATAATTTATTAATATTAACACTGAATATTTTAAACAATCAAAATTCATAAAAAAGCATTTTGTCAGAAGAGTTATAGCTGCATTAAGCTGATTCTTGCTTATTACATACATTCATTAATTAGTTTAATGAATTTACATGGCAGCGTCATTTTCTACTTGCATTCTTGTGACAAAAATATAAATAATGAGTTCAGCACTTTTTTGTTTCTGGTATTGACATTGATTTAGAAACATTCCAACAGGGTTGGTTTTTGTCTCTTAAGGGTCTGAGCTGTAGCCCAAGGATTTTGAGCAACTCCTTGCTACTGTATTAGTCAGTCCTGTCTTGGTACAATTCATCCTTATAGTAAGGCTCTCATTTGTAACACTCATTCTGACAAATAAGGCTATGTAATTTTAGCTCCTAAGTACATTAAACTCAATTACAATCTCCATCTTTATAAAGTTCAGAAATCTTGGTTCTCAAGAACAGTGGTATAGACAGAGTGCAATATAAAGGCAGACATCTGAGATATTGCACCATCTTCTTCCTAGGCTTTTATTATAGTAAATGAAGTTTGTCATTTCTTTAAAAGTGACAAAAGGACTATATTTTGAACATCCTTAGGCCAACTGGAATGCAGACCTAAGCCTTAGCCGTTATATTATAGTATCACTACTTGTAGGGTTGTGTCAGCACTTCCGATATAAAACCCCTGTTTTAAGGGTTTACTTCTTGGCCTTAGAAATTAGTAGTAGCCTGAATTTTAACATACAAGTTACTTGCCTTGGAAACAGAATTTCAAAGAAAAGTTGTGGCCATTTTTGTGCAAAAGTGAATGTTAGAGGTTTACTGTTTTGATTGTTTAAAAATATAGCGTGCACATTGAACTGTTTTTAGGGGGGCTATGGCAAAAGATTAGCAGGTGATATAATTTAATCACTTGTAATGTGTAGTAAAAATCAATCAAACAGTCAAGTAAGCATTTTTAGAGGAGTGTGAAATATTCATAAACAAAAAGTATACTAAACCACTGGAAATCAACGTTTTTCCAGATTTTATTGTAAACTTGAGACCATTTTCCATGAAAAATGTTGTTGGACATGTACATTTCTCTAGTAAAGGGTCTCATTTGCTGATAAAGATGAGCCCATGTTTGAGTAAAAATGGCTTCTCTGTTGAAAACGTGCAAAAAAAGTTTGTTTGTTTTTTCATTGTGAAAATAGCCATTTTGAAAAAGGTAACCCACAAAAAACTAAGCTGTGGAGCAAAATCACATGAAACTGCTAAAATTTATGCATTAAATTTCATAAATAAAAAACGATGAATTTTGCACAGCACTGTTAACATGTACAGAATGCATCCTACAAACATAGGACTATACTGTTTGTACCTCATTCTGCAAGTAGTCTCGTGGACTTCAGGAAGACTTTATGTAGAGTAAAATGCTACTCAGTGTGAGTATGGGTATTGCAATCGAGCCCATTCTTAGGATTTATTTTTAAAAAGTGTAAATGTACTTAATGTACTTGAGAGTGAAGCAGTTCCATAATTACACTTTTATTTTAAAACCCTCAAATTACTACCTTTAAACTACGAAGACTCTGTTTGTGTAGCATCATTGGCATGGTTTGTCAGAGCTGAGATAACATAGTCCCCATGTCATTACTAAAAAGGAATGTTTTCTGTGATCATATGTTGTTTTGACTCTAACACTAACAGTTTAGATGGTAGAAATTTGTACAGCAGGTGGTGGATCCCACAGCTTAGGAGATATTTAGGGTATCAGCTATTTGAATACAAGTTACAGATAATAGAATAGGTGTGGATAATAAGCTTCATGCTTCTTTTTCACATGCTGCTCAAGAGCTACCATTAACACTGAGCCAAGGAATTGGTATGCTGCAGGGAGAGAGATGGTGTAAAAGAGGCACTTAAAATATTATTGTCCTATTAAAAATGATGGGCCAAACTCCATTGTGGTGTGGCTTTTTTTGCACCAAACCACTGAGGTAATCTAGCTGTGGAGCCATCTTAACTGGATCCAGAAGGACTATCCTAATATAAGGCTGATCTACCAGAGGGGTGGGGCTGATTTAGGGGTTCTTGTGCCGTTCCAGCCACCTGTGGCTGGGATAGCAAGGGAAAAAGGCATGGCTGGGGAAAATGGGAGATGACCAAGTTGCTCCTGCATTATGCTAATCATTGGCCATATTTTCAGTTCCTTGTGGCCATTGAAACTCACATGCTGTTTTAACATAGCACGGGAGGAATGGCCTGCACACAGCAGCTACCAAGATCATAGGAGTGCAAAGGTGCGCTTTCAGTCATCTTTGCACACCTTTGACCAACACTCTTCACAATTTGGCTGCCACATGGGACGTGATCCCATATGTTCAAATAGTAATTTCCTTGCCTATGTTACTAATAATGCATTTGATTATTAAAACTGAAAGAGTATTGCAAGTGTAAATTATTTTCTGCCATTTATTGGCTTGTTTATGTACTCTTTCCATTTCTTAAGGATTGGGCAATGAGAATAGACTAGTCTGGTTCCCTTTGGTTTCTAGTCAGTTTCACTTTAAATTTCTCCTCTCTAAGCACAAGACTGCACTTTTGTATTGTAAATATAGATTGGGAATATTTGTGTTTGTTTTTCTTTTGAAATAACAACAACAGAATTATTGGAAATATTTGTGTTGGTCTTAAATTTGGTAAAAACTTTCTTTTACAAACCTAATTGTGTGGCCAGATTTGACCTGACAAAACTAGGAGCCAAAGTACATAGCCTGATAGTGATTCTAGAAAACCTTGCATCCAAGTAAAGTTCCTGCTACTGCCTCAGAATTAACGCTTCTTCAAAACCTGATAAAGTCTCATTGTCCTACTTTTAAAAGTAAAGAGTTTTTAACTCAGTAGAAGTGTCATGGTGAATCGAGCTTGACCATCCGTATATAGCAGTAAGATTTAGTTCATACAAAAACTGGAATTCTGTGTTGGCTGAAATTGTTTGGAATGCAGTGAGTGATAATAATTCCCAAGTCTGTTGACCATCAGGGTATGCTGTGAGGCCTGTCTGTTTTCCCATTCTTTCGAGAAAGATGTGAGTTTGGAATTTGTATGTGGGTATGAAGGAATGCTTATTGATAGTTATGAAGGGTTAATTTGGGTAAGCAATATTTGGGCTATTTTTATAAGATTTGTAATTGTTTTTACTGTATATGCACCTAAAACAAACAGCCATATTTAAAAAATCTAAATAAAAGTAATTCTCCTTAGTCATATTGACTTGTCAAACAGCAAGCAGGATTAACATTAAATTATTTTCCTTTCACTTCCACTATTTGTAAATTAGAAATCACCCTTGGAAGCCAATGGTGTTACTCTTATGTAAAACTGGTGGAAGGGAAAGGAGAATCAGATCCCAAATTTTTAGGTGGGTCACACAGACCCAGATTTTGACTCATCTTAAAACTGATAGAATGTAGACAATGTTTAGATTATAAAGGCCCCATGCAGCAGAAAACTGACTGCTGGCCAATGGAAGTTTTGGCTCGCTGTGTAGTCACAGATGGCAAGACTTATCATTGACCTACAGCCCCCTTGCACTGTAATTCCTGACACAAATGGGCTGTAGGGCAGGAATAAAGTCCACTAATGAATAGCATTGGCTCGAGGGGGTTTCTATGCCAGGAATCGAGCTGGGTTTGCCCTGCCCCCCATAGAAGCCTTTAACACAGGGTGTGTTCTGCGGTATATTGGGGTAGGAGGAGGCATGGCCAGCACACTCCTTTGCCCTGATGATTTCCCAATGTTGCAAAACCCATAAGGGTCCTATGCTGCACAAGGGACTAACCAATCTCTAGCATGTCCTTATTATGAGATGTTTTTTTCTTTGGTAGAGGTTGTGTAATGCTGAAAACTGCACCCTTTTTGTTGCCATGTGTATGGAATGGGGTTGTTGAAATGTTTCTGGGAAACACTGAACATTTTCAGAATATTCTCCCACCTCAGCCTCCATATGGGTAGGAGTGGTGATTAGGATCTTTCCCTGACTGACTGACATTTTTAATCAGCGAAGAATTTTAAAAGTACTACCTAGTTTAAAGAACTGACTGACAATGCCGTTGTGAATGGATTTCAGCCCGGCTAAAGATTCACCTATAGCAAGTGGAGATCAGGAAAATCCGTCTGCAACAGCAACAGGGATGGGGCACCCAGTCCATATCAGACAATGCAGGAGTTAGCATTGGTATGTATACACACACACACACACTTCAAGCAAACTTTTTAGCACGCTAGACTATCAGAACTGTGCTGACATCACTGCCATTCTCAATTACATTTAAGGCACCACTGACATAAACAAGAAATTAACAGATATCATAATTCCACTCATGACATCAGATGCTCACTGCTGGTATTGTGGGATGTCTGTACATACACAGGGAGACAGCTAAATACATGCCATAACAATACGGCTCCAAGGCTTAAAATGCAGAGTTATCAGCAAGTACTTGCAGATTCAAGTCTCCCTGTAGGCAAAGGATTTTCTTTTTAATTTTGTTTTGTTTTTCCTTAGTTTGATTTGACATTTCTCTTTTCTCTTTCAGTCCTTATCTGGAAAATAAAAAAAAGGTTATGTGGGTGTGTTTTTCCCTCCTCCTCTCTTACCCCTGAAAAAGCAGAGAGATGGGAAGAAAAGCAACAAGTAGCCTCAGGTACATCTCAGAATTTAGTTCCAGGAGTGCAACAGACCCACCTGATAGCAGCCGCGCTGCAGCTAGCATGGTTGGCCCCCTGTGTAAGGATAGACTTACTGTGATAGTAGCAGAGAACATCTGCTGTCACAATACATCTTTGTACACAGGTAGAGCCAGCAAAAGAAGCTATGTTTGCTTCTACTTTATACAAAACAGAGGATGGGGGAGGTCAGAGTTACCATATACAGAAAGATAAACTGAGTAATAATAGAAATGTTACTTTCAAATTTGCAAGAGGCCTTATAAAGAGCGAGGAGTGAAAAATCAAAAACTATTTTAAAAATGCGTTTGACATTGTCTATTTAATTCTGAAGTTGCTATGTCAATTGAAAAGTGTATTTTATAGGACTGTCAAGCCCTTTAGAAATAAGGCTACGCTTATTGTTTTACTAAGGATGCCCTAATCCCTCTTTTTAGCCTGTGTGATATAAACCTACCTTAATGGTTATCAGTATTAAATGTGAAATTATTTTGCAAACATTTAAAATGTTAGTCTTATGAAGATGGAAGTTAAAATTAAATACACATACAAAATTTTTGAAAAGTTAAGTCAAATATATTGGAATTGAAAAGCGCTATCGCCTATAATTTCCTTATTGTAGAGCTCTCTGTTTGTTGTGAAATCTGTACTGTATTTATCATGGGAAATATCCATGTCAGTATATCACAGTGTTCCATATTTCCCAATGTCGAATTTATTATTTGGGTTATGTGAGGGCTTTGAAAATGGATTACTAGATCTTTAAATTCATGCTTTTCCTCCCCCATCTTTTTTTTTTAATATAGTTTTTTTATATATTTCTTTGTGCCTTCTATCATTGTACATTTCTGCATGTTTAGTAATAGAGCTCACTCGTGTAGCTAACGCATATGTACATAGTTGTGTGTATGTGTATGAATGTGTTTATATCTATCTCCGTGTAATATATTATGTACAGCGTATATAAAGTGTGTATGTGTATGTACATATACATATATGTAGCCATGGTATTCATACATCTTTATATGTTAAAGAAAGTTGATGATTGAGTTGCTAATCTGGGCCTTCCTAATCTTCATTTCTTGGCCCAGGCTCAGCCCTGCCTTAAGCAGGATCATCTCCGTTAACATCAGTAGAGTTCTACCTGTTTCTAAACCAAGGCTGAATTTGGGTTTGTCGCTTTGTCCTCAGAGCTTTTTAAAAAAATCCAAGTCATTTGAGATTTTCAAGTTATTTTCTCAGCCTTTTCTCATAACTGGTAGGAGCCATCCAAGTGAGAGTTAGTAGAATCTACAATTCCCAAGGGAAAACATGAAATAAAAATAGAAGGTAAATATTCCCCTATTTTTATTCCCCTATTTTCATTCTTGATAAACACAGAGGGGCTTTTTCTAGCCTTCTGAGAGAGGTCTATTTGTAAATTTTTTAAGTGATTTCTTTAAGTCTCCATTAGCGGCTACTTAGAAGAAAGGTTGCCATGTATCTTTGAACTATACCCCACAGGATAAAGCAAAAGGCTGAATGCAATGCATGGTGCAATAAATGTCATTTCTAAAATCTTCAGCAACAAGATCATAACAGTCATGTCATAGAATTTAAGGCCAGAAGGGACCACCAGAGCATCTAGTCTGACCTCCTGTATATTACAGGCCAACATCACCCAGCACCCGCACACTAAATCCAACAACTGAAATTAGACCAAGTATTACAGCCCACAGGAAACTAAACTATCGTGTACCATAGGCAAAGAATAAAAGGGACTACGGTGTACAAGTGCCTGAGGCCCCTGCAGTGGCAGGGAAATGATTTAGTGAGATATACCCAGATAATCCTGGCAAGTGATGTGCATCGTCATGCCACAGAGGGAGGCAAAGAAACCCAAAGGTCGCTGCCAGTCTGTCCTGGGGGGAAATTCCTTCCTGATCCCACATATGGCAATCAATTAGACTCCGAGCATGTGATCAACAACCAGCCAGCTGAACACGTGAGACAGAGAATGTTCAGTGCCAGCTCAGAGCCCTGCCCCACACTGCCCAATGTCCCATTTCCAGCTATGGCCATCCCTGATGCTTCAGAGAATAGACATTAAAAAAACCACCCAGAATATACTGGGGGAGGGAATCCCTTCCTGACCTCTGCAGGTGGCCAGCTGAAATCCTGAAGCATGAGATTTTAGGAACATGAGAAATAAACCGGAAATGAGCCCCAAGGCTACTGAGTCCTGCCCCCTACCATCAGAAGCAACCCTGAAGCTGCACTCAACAATTTGTCCAACTCTCTCTTAAAAATAATTAAGTTGTTTGCCCCCAAAACTCATATTGGAAGGATGTTCTAGAGCCTCACCCCACTGATGATTAGAAACTTTCTTCTAATTTCCAGCCCTAATTTGTTCAAGGCCAGTTTATGTCCATTTTTTCTTGTGCCAACGTTGTTCATGAGCTTAAATAGGTCTTCACTGCCCGCTCCCTTCCCAGTATTAACTGCCCTAATGTATTTATGGGAAGTAATCATATCCCCTCTCAACCTTATTTTTGCTAGATTAAGCAAGCCAAGCTTTTCCAGTCTTCTCTTGTAAGATAGACCCTCCATTCCTCTGATCATCCTCGTAGCTCTTCTCTCCACCTGTTCCAGTTTGAAATTTGCATTAATCCTTTTTGAGCCTGGGTGACCGGAATAGTATACAATATTCCAAAGGAGGTCTTACCAGTGCCTTGTACAATAGCATTAATACTTCTCTATTTCTAATGGAAATGCCTCGCCTGATACGTCCTAGGATTGCATTTGCCTTTTGCACAGCCATATCACATTGGTGGCTCATAGTCATCCTGTGATCAGCCCACACACTCATGTCTCTCACTTCCTCTGTCACTTACAACTGATGAGCTCTTGGCTTGTTGCAGAAGTTCTTATCATTAGTCCCTAAGTGCATGACATTGCATTTTGTATTATTGAATTTCATCCCATTTCTGTCACTCCAGTCTTCCAGGTCATCCGGATCTTCCTGTAGAATATTCCGATCCTCCTCTGCATTGACAGTGCCTCCCACCTTTGTGGTGTAAAATGTCAGGTTTTTTTTATAATCAGTATGCTAAACTATCTGTTTATATGGAAATTGAAATTAGAGTAAGCTCCAGGTTTAGACTACATTCCTCTGTACTATATTCCTTGTTTCTATCGCAGAAGGGCTGAGAGGAGTGTGCTGAAACAGTCCCCTCACATGCTCTGTTTCTATAAAAATAGAGATCGGTGGCAACTACACTGAAGGAAATAATCAGTCAGAAGTATGTAAGGGTACAGAATTGTCCATATGAGTTTTTAATTCAGTTTTTAATGTTGTTTTCTTCAATAGTTTAAAAAATAAAACAACTTCAGTTAGTTGTGCAAGTAACATCTGATTATGGATATTAAATGCTCAGAAAACTGAAAAATTACATTATTACTGATAAAGACATGAGAGGCACTGAGAACTCCTCTATCACAAAGAATTTCTTAAATTCATTTTTTTCTGAGGTTAATGTAATTATTTTTGCACAAGGCTTTTTATGTAAATCCAAGTTAGCAGAAAGGAAAATTAACAAGATCTACAGACCTTTCAGTAATTTAAGTTTTTAAAATATTCTCCCTTAGAATAATTTTGTACATATCTTGGACCCAAATCTTTGAACACTCCATGTGCTCAACTCCCATTGCCATCTGATGTCAAGGGGAACACCTCACATGCGTAAGCTTTTGCAGGATATGGGCCTTGGTTGTAAAGTCTTTGCTGTGAAGAATACTAAGAATGTGTTCCTTTTTGCCATACTGTTTAATAAACATATGTAGACTGTTTGTTTCAAATATCGATTTTGTGAAACATCCATCTTTTTAACATTTCAAGCCCAATTTCTGAGGCCTTCTGCATGTAAAATGCCCATTTAAATCAATGGGAGCATTTCTTGCATAAGATGGCCCTTCCTTTGGTGTCATGACAATCACACCGTTTGAATATTCTTGCTTTTCTGTTGAAAATAGAATGGCAACCTTAATGTCTTTAAATGCTTTTTTATTTCAAGAACATTTTTTAAGGTTAAGAAATGGATTGGGGTGTTGATCAGAATTGCAGCCATTTCAAAGAATAATAATTAAACTGCGAATTTAAAAAATAATAGCCATATTCTAAGACTGAAGGGTTATGGAACTCACAAGTTTGAATTTTTTCTCTTTTGAAAGACAAAATGTGTTAAATATAAATGTGGATGAAATGTGTTATGTACTATCTTGCAGGAACTACAGGATGTGAAATCAGCTTCCTGTAGTGATCACAGACCGCCAAATTCTGAGAAGTGCTGAGCAGCTTCTGTTCCCATTGTAGGTGCTCTGCACCTCTCAGTAATTGGCTCATTGCATATAAAAATCTGTTCCTAGAAACATCTATTACTGCAAAGCAAGTACAAAGCCATTTGAAGAGTTTTGTTTTACCATTTAGATTTTAAAAAGGGGAAATAATAGATTTCAAGTTAGACATGGGGATATCCTTTAGAAAAGTATGTTATTTATAGAGCATATTTGTTTTTTTATCATCTGTGGTATTAAGTTCAAGTTCTGGAATATTTTCCTATAATCCATCTGTTCTTTAAAATATATTGTAAGCCAGTGTTCAAACACTTTTATAACTGAAAAACTGCACATTTTTCATTGTATAATTGTATGTATTTGGCATACCTATGAGCTCTGAGCTCTTACAAAAATACCCCACTTGTTACAAAGGGAATTGTCTGCTATAGTTCCTTGGGATATTTTTTGTAACCCTCTCTTCTTCATTGTTTAGAAAACTGTTGTTTATGCTATTGCATTAATTACAGGTTTAAAACCTGTTAAAGCTGTTGCTTTCTCACAGCTTCTTTGTGAAATCAGCTTTGTATATGTGATGGCATTTAAAAATAATAGCATGAATTTTTTAATCTGAATTTTATATCTAATCAGTGTCTTCAGTCATGAAGAGAAATTTGCATTGTTGTGTTTGTATATAGAGTATTGCAGTGCATGAATTAGCTTATGCATTTTATTAAATGCAGTTTAAATGTGGCATTACATTGTTGTAGCTTAATACTACTACCTAAATGAGGTTTATACTATTAAAGTGAATTACAAACCTAAATGTATCTTTGATATTTATAAATGCTTTATTTTTTTCTTGAATCACAAGTGATCATTTCACATCCATGCCAAAATTTCAGTTTTACCTGCTTCCCTTTTGTCACGCTATCAGGAGTGGCTCACAACCATGAGTGCTAACCTTAGGGCAGACTGTTAAAAGCAGGGCAGACACTCCAAACTGGTGGTATGTTTTATAATTAGATTTCACCAACCCAGTAACAAATGTGAGCTCCTAGATCACTGTAACAGTCTTACCATAGAGTCACAAACAGTCCCCTTGGGCTCTCCAGTCTATCTTAATACTCAGTGGTCACTTACACCAAAAATCACAAAATATTCCAGTTGCTTCCAGTCCCAAGAGATCAGTCACTTATCCCAGTTCAATTTGTGCCTTACATCTCCCACCAAAAAAAATGCCTGTAACCACACCCTGCAATAAACTAACTAAAGGTTTATTAACTAGTAGAAAGAAATCAGAGAATTATTTACAGGTTAAAGCAAACCAGTATATATGCACAAATGAATTTGTTTGTGATTTGAAAGCCGACAGAGATGTAGTAATCTGTCAGCATGGAATGTCTTTTTAGGACTTAATCCGGGTCAACCCTGGGAATCTCTCCTTTTTGTTTCTTAGCTCCAGCCTTTGTCAGAGTCCAAATAGCAAAGTGATGAAAAATCTCCATGTTAGCTATTTTCCTTTTCCTCTTCCAGAATTCACACAGATAAGATGATGATGCCTTCTACACATACTTCTCCATGGGTGGATGGGGCAATCAACAAAGTTTTTGTCCTACAATGGCCCACTTATTTTTTGATAGTCCTCCTGGATGGGTGGGGGAAGGCACTCTTCTCATCTGAATTCATAAATTCAGAGCAGGCATTTTTACAATTATAAAACAAACTTTTATATTTTATTTGTAGCATGCAATACAGACATTACAAGTAAGATTAATGGATGCGACAACTTAAAAACATTTCATAGAGTCTAAACACTAAATATATTCTTATAAGACTAATATCTATTTGAACAAAACTAATGTATGGGTGAGCTAGTCTGATTTCCAGCTATGAGTTTGTCTGCTCTTAGCTAACACCTATGGCCTTGACCAGGCTGGCACTTGTCTTACTGATGTCATGCCTGTCTTCAGAAAGAAACAATTTGATAGTTTCTCCGCATTTGGTAAAAGTATCCTTTTGGAGTGGTCATTTAAACTATTCTAATAAAAAGGCCCAAATCCTCTTCACCTTACTTGTGCCTATGAACAAGTTGAGCAAGATTTGCCACTAAAGATATTCATCTTTCTGTGGTTTCTCAGATTTTCCATCTGAAAGCATATGAGATTATTTATTGAGAGTTATATTTACCCTTAAGAACATAAGAATCGGCATTCCGGGTCAGACCAACGATCCACCTAGCCCAGTATCATGTCTTCACACAGTGGCCAATGCCAGATGCTGCAAAGGGCAGTTATCAAGTGATCCTTGTCCTACACTCCTAGCTTCTGGCAGTTGAAGGTTTAGAGACACTCAGAGCATGGGCTTGCATCCCTTACCATCTTGGCCAATAGCCATTGATGGACCTATCTTCCATGCACTTATCTAATTCTTTTTTGAACTCTGTTATACTTTTGGCTGTCACAACATCCCCTGATAATGAGTTGTATGAAGAATTACTTCCTTTTGTTTGTTTTAAACCTGCTGCCTATTAATTTCATTGGGTGAGCGCTGGTTCTTGTGTTATGTGGAGGGGTAAATGACACCTTCTCCCTACCATTCATGATTTTATAGACGTCGACCATATCCCCCTGTTAGTTGTCTCTTTTTCTAAGATGAATAGTTCCAGTCTTTTTAATCTCTCCTTGTATGGAAGCTGGTCTATACCCCTAATCATTTTTGTTGCCTTTCTCTGTACTTTTTCCAATTCTAATGTATCTTTTTTGAGATGGGATGACCAGAAATGCATGCAGTATTCACGGTGTTGATGTACCATGGATTCAGATAGTGGCATTATGATATTTTCTGTCTTATTACCTATCCTTTTTAATGGTTCCTAATATTGCGTTAGCTTTTTGACTGCTGCTGCACATTGAGCAGATGTTTTCAGAGAACTATCCACAAAGACTCCAAGCTTTTTCTTGGGCTTGCAAGTATAACCGGTCCTTCACTTTTATGAGCACAAAATTCATTCTTCATATTTGACAGAGGTGTATGTCTTGCCACTAACAAAAATACCGTATTCATGTCAGATATCTCAAAAAAGAACAGAAATTCAACAAGCTGCTTTTGAGCCTTTTGTGGCCATATGAATGCAAAGGAGAAATGAAATGCAAAATTTGGACTCTTGCATGTATTCAAAATCCAATTTGCATCAATAGGACATTATAATGAAGGGGACACACAACCGAATGATAGAAAACAGCAAGAACTGTCATTTGTTTCAGACTTAACAGCAACCTCACTTTCCTCTTGATCCATACACCCTGTGCCCTCTTAGACTCTGTTCTCTCCGGTCCCAAATTCCCATCTCTTGTTAACTCCTGTCACTTCTGCCTATGTTGGCTTTCATACTATGGTATCTATGTCCATCTTAAAAATTCTGAGTCAACATATTCTTTAATATATTCAAATTTCTCCCCTTTTGTACTATAACCATTGCTTAAATCCTTGTCTGAAACCTGATCCATCTCTTGCCTTGATTATTACTTTTTACTGAGTGGTCTCACTGCTTCCAGAATAATTTCCCTATTCCCTTGCTCCAACCAAGTTAACTCCTCCATTAATCTTTCCTTTGGCTTCCCATAAAATTCAGGCTCTTCAGCCTCATTTACAAGGCCCTACATAATCTTGATTCTACGTTTATCTCAGCTTTCATTTATCTTTAATTCTCTCTAGTTTTCCCTTACTCCTGTCTTTATCATCTCATCCTTTCCCATTCAACTGCATGCCTTCTGTCATGGTATGCCTGGGACATGGTATGCCTGGGACTGTACTTGACTTCATCTCCAAACTGGCTTTTCTTTCCTTCAAATTTCTCTTCCAACTCTCTTAAAGCTATATCTCCTCATAAATAATTCCACATCCTCCCTCTCCTGTGCTGTGATCCCAAGTCTTGTATCTGCCTTATTTACATTTTAAGCAGAGAATTAGTCTAATCTTTGGAAAATATTGTGTATGTATCAGTGTTCTCTGCTTTCTTCCTCTAAGCCTAAACCAACTTGTCCATAATGGATTAGCTTAATAGCAAATTCAGTTGCTCATAACCGCTATTGACATATAGAAAGGGATTTGACTTTATATAGCATCTTTCATGCTAACATCTCAAAACCCTTTAAAAAATAACAGGACAGACATGGGCAGGTTATGAGGTGCTTATGGTCTGTGGGTTAATTGACATGCAGAGGACCCTCAGCTCCATGTCTCTGTTTCTTCATATGGCAATGGAGCTGTTTCCTTGCTCTTTTTCAATATCTGGCAAAGATAGGGACATGGATAAAAGGCAGGTTTTTAGTTCAGGCTCAATTTGTGAATTGCTTATATTGACCCTGGGGAAGTCAGTAACCACTTCCTTAGTTGAAGGCATCTGCCCAGTCATTTATAAAATAGTTCTCAATCTCAGGTGATTCTTTTGCAGACTTTTCTCTGCTTGTACAAACCCAAATAGCATCAAAAGCTAGAAACCCCATCATCTGTCTTATGCTGGCAAAGATATTGCTTCCTTTCTTCCAAGGCAGATCTAGCCACAGTCATCTGTATCTTTGTTATTCAAAGCTGGACTGAGGGCAACTCAGACGCTTCAGCTTGTGAAAAATACTGCTGCTGCTCACTTCATGTACGGTCCTGCTAGTTTGTCCTACTCACAACTTCTGTGCTCAGCTCTTCACTGCCTAGCAATCCACACAGCGGACACTCAGGGTGCTGATCTCTTTATCCAAAGCCATTGAGGGTCTACATTTTCATAATTTCCCATGTTGAACTGGAATTTTTCAGCTATCTGGCCCAAGTATAAAGTTCATGGGAGCAGAGGTTAGGGTGTTTTCACTATCATGCCCGTTCAGTTGGAGTTGAATAGAAATAGACTGTTGGCCGCACTTAGCACATAATAAACTTGTTCATTTCAGCTTTCCCCTAATTGCAGGCTCTGGAATCTCTTGGCACTTTGCCTGATGACAGGGTTTTCCCAGCTCATTTTTCTAAGGTTAACTGCTCAATGCTGAGTAGACGTAGGGAGTACATGCTCCTCAGTTGAGAAAATTACTGTTACTCTGAACCATGCAAAGGGAACACATACTGTAATATCATGTAAATGCTTGTAATCATACTGGTCACGCAATCACTGCAGGCAAAGATAGGAGCTATTGGATATTCCTGAATCAGGCTATCAAGCCTCAAGTTCATATTGTGTAAATAACATTGAATAAAACCCCTTTCCACACCAATTTTGACTGTGGAATTACTAGATGTTAGTAATACTTCAAAATTGTTGGACAAAAAGTGCTACATAACTGCAGAGTGTGTTATGAACAAGTAGATCACAACCACACAAGCTAAGCAAGTGAAGAAATGGGCACAGAGTAGCAGTGGTTTCAACAGTTCATACACCTAGTTAATAAGTAGCAAAGAGAGAAATTAAACCCAGGAGTCCTGACTACCAGTATCCTGCTCTAATCACAGATTATCTCCCCATAAACAAGTGTGTTAACTACATAAATGCATAACCTGATTTCAGCGTTAACTACATACATGCATAACCTGTCATTGATTTATGCTGTTGGCTTCTAAAAGAGGGTCTCGATGTTTCAGTGGTTTTCAGATTGTAGTCGCCTTTCTTCAACCCATTGCTAGTAGTAATTACTGAACCCTAACAATTACACTAGTAAATCAGTATTGCCAAGTCCAGCTTTTCCAGAATCATGAGTCAAGCACGTGCGCACACACAAAATAGTCCTGCCAATAGCTCAAAAGTAACAAGATTTTTTTTAAATAGTAAATTTTAGGCTCTTTATTTGCCTTCTGATTTCTGAGCATTTAGCGGCACAAACTTCATTTTCAAGCTTTTATTCACACCCAAAAGGGCTAAAAGCTTACTTTAAAAAAGAGAGAGAAAGACAAAAGAAAGAAACAAAGCTGAAGTCTCATAAAATCTCTTCTCTCCAGCAGCTGGAGAACACGACTGCCCCCGTACCAGGCTGGATAACGCTTCCACCAACTCAATTTCCTCCTGGGGTCAATTCAGTGGAGCCCCACCTGGTGACCTGAGCAACACTGATGAGAGGTGAGGTTGAGGCGAGCGGGCAGCGGACCCAAGCCCAAAACGAACAGCTGAGAAGCACTGTCCGGTCGCTACAAAAAGCAAACAGATGCGAAGGCGAGCCAGGGAGGTGACTCATACTGCAGCCTTCCCCTAGCGCTGCCCCCTCTCTACCCACCCCCCAATTCTTTTCTTCTTCCTGGATCCCAGGGTGGCCCGGTCCACGCACTGTTTCCCTTCTCACACCCTCTTCCTCGTCCCACCGTTGCGGCTGCAAATCCCCTAGCTCCGCTTCCCGACCCCGGGGCAGCGAAACTACGCCTCCCGTAGCCCTCCGCGGCCGGGGCGGAGAGCACGTGTTTCCTCTGCCTGCCTGCCGGGCCGCGCCGCCTCATTTCCCCTGCGGGCTGCGCCGCCTGCCCGAGGGAGCCAGCTGCAGCCATGCCGATGAAGGGCCGGTTCCCCATCCGCAGGACCCTGCAGTACCTGACCCAGGGGGAGATCGTCTTCAAGGGCGCGGTGAAGGTGATGACCGTGAACTACAACGCCCGGGGGGAGCTGAGCGAGGGGGCCAGGTGAGTGCAGCGGTGGCCACCCCGCTCACGGCTCTAGGACACTCCGGGGAGAGGAGGCTGCTGGGTAGCCCGCCGCCGGCCTGGGGGAGGGGACCAGGTGAGTGCAGCCTCGGGGGGGGGGGGCTTCAGAGCTCACCCCCCCCTTTCCCCAGTCCCTGGGGCACCGCGCCCTGGCTGTCCCGGGGGGCGGGGGGCAGATGTTGCTGCCGGCTGCTGAAGGGCTGTGTGCGTTTACACTGACTTGCTCGCTGCAAGAGACTCTGGCTTTCTTTTCCCCCTAGGAAATTTGTGTTTTTCAACATCCCTCAAATTCAGTACAAAAACCCCTGGGTCCAGATCATGATGTTTAAGAACATGACCCCTTCGCCGTTTCTAAGGTTCTATTTAGGTAAGTGCTTTATCCTTGGGATGCTGGGCACCCCGGCCCCACAGAGTAACAGCGGATTCTCCTCTCCCACAAGCTGCTGGCTGTCCCAGCTGCCTCATGATGTCTGTGATTCCCTGGGGGATGTCGTACATCCAGGCCCAGGGTGGGCCAACTTTTTGGCCTGAGGGCTGCATCTGGGTGGGGAAATTGCATGCAGGGCCGTGAATGTCGGGTTTTGGGGGAGGTACCTCCAGGCGAAGGCAGCGCGCTCGGAGCCCTCTGCCCCGCCTCCCCCAGGGGCCGCAGGGATGTGGTGCCGGCCGGCCGCTTCCGGGAGCGGCAGTCCCACGGGCTGGAGTTTCCACACCCCTGATCTAGGCACTGCCAAGGACTTCTTAGGATAGGGTAACTGCAACCTCCCCTTTAAAAGGGCCTAGAGAGCAAAGATCTCTGAGCACCCAACAGTTGTATAAGGGGCCTAACAGACTTGCTGGATCAGGTGCTGATCTTTAAAAGAAGCTCTACAGTGTTGCCTGCTCACAGCACTTCCGTGTCACTATTTGAAGCTGTAGGGGTTTGTTCCATTCCTGCAGAACAGTTACAGTCTACTACAAGGGTAATCTTAATAAGGACCTCACATCATACCTGCAGGTATATCTGTAAAGCCTTCTCGTGGCTCTCTCTTACTAGCCCATAGGAAGATGTGAGGTTGATGGATTAAGGCAGTGGCTTCCCATATGGCTTTCTGGTCCTGAGATCCATTTATAAGGAGGCAGTGTGGCCTAGTGGACAGTGCATTGGAGGGGGACTGGGAAGACCTGGGTTCTGTTCCAAGCTCTGCCCCATCTGTAAAAAGGAATAATGTTTACAAGGAGCTGAGTTTTACCTGCTAACACCCACCCCAAGACCCCTTTAAAAGTTTAGCTTGCACCCTTGAAAACTGCATACAAAAGTGAGGTTACTGACCAAGGAACAGGCAGCACCTTGGGCTGTTTGTGACGGTCTTGCTGGTGCTTCACACCTTAAAATATTTACTCGATCTAATGCGAAATGGTAGACATGTCTGGGTAGTCACCTCTCAATACTTATTCTGTACCACTTTCCTCTACAGATAGTGGTGAGCAAGTCTTGGTTGATGTGGAAGATAAAAGCAACAAAGAGATAGTGGAGCACGTTAAAAAAATCTTGGGTAAAAGCGAGTAAGTAAACATCCTTCACAACCTGAAGAGTCACTGTCTCCTCTCTGACAGAGCTGTAAGATGTCACAGCACTGACTGAGGGGTTGAAAGTGGACAAGGCCTCTTAAACCAGGAGGTTTAGAACAGTGGTTCTCCACCTTTCCCAACTACTGTGCCCCTTTCAAGAGTCTGGTTTGTCTTGTGTACCCCAAGTTTCCCCTCACTTAAACTTACAAAATCACATATAAAAATACAGAAGTGTCACAGCACACAATTACTGAAACATTGCTGACTTCTGAACTTTTAACTATATAGTTATAAATCAATTGGAATGTTAATATTGTATTTAAATGTCAGTTATAGAGCAGCACAAACAAATCAGGGTCTAGTACGTTTGTTTGTACTGACTTCGCTAGTGCTTTTCCTGTAGCCTGTGCTATTGACAAAGTAAAGCTGCTCCAAGCTAAGTGAAGGGGAATTTTTTCTACAAGGCAGTCCTGGAAAGGTGGTTTCGCTGCTAGCAGCCATTACTGTGGGAGATGCTGCCCTATGAAATTTTGGTGTATGGAAAAAAAATGCACCACCACCATTCTTTTTAGGCAGCAGGGGAGAGGGTGGAGAAGAAATACAGCCGCCTTCATAGCGAATTGTTTTTCCCCTTCCAGGGAAACGCTACAGAAAGAGGAGCAAGAGAAAAAGAAGCTGTCTCATCCTGCAACCTTTGGACCTAAAAAATATCACCTGAGGGAATGTATGTGTGAAATCGAAGGCCAGATTCCTTGCCCTGGTCTAGTACCGCTGCCTAAAGAGATGACGGGCAAATATAAAGCTGCTATGAAAGAAAAAGCCATATCCTGATTTAACAGAGGGGGCAATTCTGCTGCCATTCAAGGTGCAGATAGGATACAAGGTGCTTCAGTAACTGAGGCAGACTTCACAGCCAAAAAACTGGTCCATGTTTTCAGTCCTTGATTCACGAGAAGTCTTTTCATAGATATGGTTGGACCCATTCATGTTGGTTACCCAGACAAGTGGAAGAAAATATTTTTAAATAAATCCTTTTAAAACTTTAGCTGCTTCTATTTTTCTGTACGTTCTCCTGTCCAGCAAAGCTTCCTCTCAGCCTTGTACCCTGAGTTGCTTATATGTAAGAGGGTGTGCTCGGTCTCAAGTTCATCTACCTTTAATCAAAGAACTATACTGTGAGTAGGCCCTGTAACTTAAGGGTGACATGCCCCCATAGTTCTCTCTCAATTTCCCCACCTGTAAAATGAGACTATTACCAGAGACAAGTAGATATTTGTAAGGGGAGAGTTCTACAAAGGGGAACTAAAAGAAGCCAGCTTCTGTAATTTGTTTTTCAGGGTGGAGGAGGAGTGAATTGAGGACATGAGATAGAGCTTCGATGTAGTGAGAGAAGGAGCAACAGGATGCTGGTGAGAGAGGAGGTCCAGTATGTGAAAGGCAAGGAGTAGCAGAAACAAATTTGAGACTCCTGAAAGAAAACAAGTTACACTGCAGGTGACTAAATACAGGGAACCTTGCAAAATTATCATGACTAACTGCCCAATCTACTTTTCCCTACTCCCAGGGTGAAACTAATGATATTTACTTACTAAAGTAAGTAGCCTTAGGATGGATTTTCAAACTTTAGTCAAGCAGGGTAGGTGGGGGAGGTGTATCTTAACCTTATTCACCCCGATCCCACCAGATACAATTCCCATGTCAATTGACAGTTAAGATGTGGCATCTTTAAGAAAGAGGTACTCACTAGCTCTTGGTAGTACCCTATATGTTAACAAACAAGTCTGATTTTTTTTTTTAAATGGGTCAAAGCTGGGCTCTGGTATTGGCAGCAACAGTGTTACAAGAAATGAAATGCAGAACGCTTTTAAAAGATTAAACCTATTCCCTAAACAGTCTCCTACTTCAAACTAAAAGATTGAGCTATGTAGACTCAACCAATCCGTTTTCACCAAACTTGTATCAACACCCAGGTCCTGCTGAATGTTGCTAGATGACAGCATACACCACAAGCAGTAACTTATTTTGGTTTGAATGTGCTGTGAAGTGGAAGAATCACTCCACATAAAATTAAAGTTTTGACTACTCAGGACATGCGAGGAAAGGGAGGAGGGATAACTGTGTAGCTGCACATCTTAATTTAAAGCAGTTTGATATGTCCCTAAAAGAAAATTACTGTAATGGCACTATATTGAAGTTCCCCTGCTATTGCACACTTAACATTGGCCCCTATCAGATCCTATTGGGATCCAGACCCACATTTAAAAGCATTTTCCATCTACTGCACACACACACCAAAATAAACATGTTATTTTATTTCTTTACAAATTTTCAGTATAGAGTAGTGCATGCAAGTTTATTAACAAATGCTAGCTATTTGACAATAGGATGTCTTCGTTTTGCTTTATAGTGTAAACTCCACAGCAGTCCATATACAGATAAGGTTTTCACTTTGGAGATCACCTTTACTGTTAAGAGTTCTAGTCTATCACATTTAACATTGATTGAACTCGTGAGGTACACTAGCATCTTACCTGCTTGTAAAAATACATTGTTACATGTACAATACATATACTTTAGTGTATTAGACTGTAAAACACAAACAATGCAGGATATTTGCAACAAAGGAACACACTTTCTCCCCTCACCTCCCAATGTAAAAAACTGAAGCCACGGAACCATTTTTTATTCTTAAATTGAGAGCAAAATAAATTTTGGATTGCAGCCGAGGAGCCAGTTCTGGTTTGGTACAGGAAACAATTTTGCCTTAAACGAATAACTGCTAAATTGTTATGCTTTTAAAATGTAAACAATTCCATGCCTTGACTAATCTCAAAGCTACAGGGACATGCATCTAACCTGCTTTAATTAATCTGGTGCTAGCACCAGATGTGCATTTTTCAAGACATGCCATGAAACACCTCCCCACAATCAGTTACTATTTAAAGTCAGTAAAGGAAATTTTATATATTTACGGGAAGGTATGCATTACTCTGTGCTTTTACTCAGACTGAAACGAAGCTTAAAGAGCCTACTTTTGACTTTCAGGCAGTAACATTACTTATGCCTGTTGAGATTTTAAAAAGGCATACATAACTTATTTAGGCAAAACTACAAACATTGTTCTGCCACATAAGAGTTTGCATTTTCATATTCAGTGATCAATAAAATTTGCATGCTAGTGTTAGCGTGGTCTGTTTTAACCATTTGCTCTATTTCATCTAAAATTATACACACACAGTTAGGCCAAAACTTTCAAACACATGTTCCTAAAGCTAAGCACCTAAACCTAGATTTAGAAAACAAGAGTGGCTTAATTTTTTAGAGATGCAGGCACGTGCATCTTCCATTGAAGCAAATTCTGGTACCCAAATCAAGATTTAGGTGACCAACTTTGGGCACTCACACTTCAAAAGTGATGACCTTCATTCATGTGGATCCTAACAAAGGCTCATACCTGGCGCTTAAAACACATCCAACCTTATTTTACGTAAGGCAATCAAGTTTGATTCACTGATGTAGATTCACACTCTTTTAAAGGAAGTGAATCAAGTAGTAAACTGAAGTACTGAAGGGCATTATACAGCCACAAACTTTGTCCTTCAACTTTTTCACAAAATTTCAGTTTAGTGGCTTTTCCATTGCAAACAAGATTTCTGTTCCCTAAGTGCTATGTAAACAGGGTTCCAGTCTCACAAAACACACACATGATCATTCTGTCACCCCGAGTTTACAAAGGAATGTGCAGGTTCCAAAAAAGGAATTCAAAATTGGATGGTATTCCCTAATGTTTTATTTTACAGTGGTACTGCGCTTTCTTCCTGGAAAGAGGGAGTTAGATGTTTATTTTTATAAAAACTATTCACCTCTGAACACAGCTCAGACCCCTCTACTTTTATTCTGCAATTTATGGCCAGTGCAATGGCAGCAGCTTAAAAAAAAAAATGGAAAAATGAAATGGCAGTATAGAAGGCTTTTATATTTAAAAAAAAAATCTCAAATACACCACCTATGAGATCAGTTATCAAATTTGTTTTTAAATCCCTAAAAATCCCTTTACATATTTGCATTGCACAAATTGATCTGTAGCTTTTATATTCTGCAGCTCAAAGAATCATAGCAGCCTGCTTTTTAACAGCACTTTCTTGTAGCACAATAAGGCAGTTGAACTAGCTGTAACAACTTGCACGGTGTCATTTCCACGGGAAACATCTGATGCACAAAAATTTTAGAAAATAATGTTGGTCACTTATTAATGGAAGTCCAGTTTTAAAGGCTGACCTATAATATTGCAACAAAACCAAAGGAAGAAGGAAAGATGGCAGACTGATGTCTGCATTGTCAGATATTTTTGAATCATCTATTTCCCTATTAGCACTTTCCCATTTTGCCCAGAAATAAGCATGTGATGATAATCAACAATTTAAAAAAATGTTGTGACAAAGTTCATCATATTTAAAGTTTGTATTATTAAACATGTTTGAGAATAATATAATAGTATTAGAATATTCAGTTTTATTCTCCCAATCCAAATAGTAGTGGAAAGACCTAAATGAAAGTGCACAGCACAAAATTCAAGATTCTTCTCATCCTTCCCTCTTGTAACCTGTGCTCCTTATTTTTAAATTCAGTCTGCTTCATCCTCCAGCATTAACAGTGGACTATAAAGTTATTTTTATGTGGTCATATTATTGCTTCAGCAATTGGATTTCTCTTTCTGCTTTGCTAATGTGCGCTTCAGTTCCTTTAAGTTCTCTGTCAGTACCTCCACCTCATCCATCCGTCCGCTATGTTTGGCATCAAAAATATAAGCCTTGATATTATCAATCTGTTGGAGAAGGAGTTCTTCTTCTATAATGTCCTCTCCTGAGATTTCATTATCATCAACTTCAAAAGGATTGGTAGAAGTCAACCCTTCAAATGGATTACCAGAACTCTGAGCATTCACAGACTTTTGAAATGGATTTCCATTATCTTCAAAGGGATTTGGAGCACAAACAGTTGCCCCATTTGTTTGCTGATCTTCCTCATCATCTTCAAATGGATTATATTCTTTTTTATCACTGTGCAGGGCTTTGGTGGGCAAAGAAACCACCTGAGAACTGTCACCAGCCAATGTGTTAGCAGGGTCTTCTTCTACTGGACTAGTATCTGCCTCATCTTCAAAAGGGTTTAGGAACACTGTCTGATTTTGGTCGGTCTCTCTGATGTATTGTGGGGCATCTCTGGGTTTGGTTGGGAAGACTGAGTTCTCTTTAGTTACCTGTTTCTGGACAGCATCTGGAGACGGAGTTTTAGAACTTAGGCTGCTTTTGATCTGAGTGGTATCTAAGTCCAAAGCATGTGCTATCTGGTTCAGGTTTTCTTTTCCAGATTCATGCTGGTGCTGCTTCACTTCTCTGAAGTCTAGAGAACGTGTCCTTGAGTGTTGAGACATTGCTTTGTGTTGTTCCCTTTCCCACTCCTTCTCACGAAGGACCTGAAGCTGCTCCCTCTGCATCTCTTCCTCCTCTGCCTGCCTTTTAGAAAGCTCAATAGCTTTCAGAGTTTGCTGCTGATCATATTCATCTTGAAGCTGTCGCAGGTTCTCTTGCAACATACGGACCTCATCTAACCGATTAGCTGCCTTTGCTTGCTTAATAAAAGATGTAATATTGTCAATCTGCTGAAGAAGTGGGTCAGCTATTTCCCTTTGGCGAGGTAAGCTAGACGTAGGTAACCAACCTTCAGATTTCTTTACTGTGCCTCTTTTTGGATAAGGTACCTCACCATTGGGTGCAGCTGTGGATCTGGAAGCCAAATCTTTCTGCTTTTCCTCCAGTCTTCTCTGTGTTTCAAGTGTTGCCTAGCAGAGACAAGATTTAAAAGGAGACCTATGAACTTAAACTCCCATTTTTGCCTGAAATTTCTGTGCCTATATGGTTCCAACACCTGAGATTATTGTAACTGAAAAGTGTTAGTCACTTTTTGAGTTATTTTCTGCAGTTGACAGCATTTGTATCAGGTCAGTTTCCCCTTTGCTGAAAAAACTCAAACATCAAAGGACCA